GTAAGCTTTCATAGATATTCGAGCTTCTTATAAATACTGACTTACGTATAGAGTTAAACGGGCATGGATGGGTAAAAGACGGTGTGCTGTTGTCGCTTAAGACATTGTACATATCACGTAGTATAATTTTGGCCGAAGATATCTTGTAGCTTAGTTTATCTGCGATGTTATTCAGTAATTCGGTATCAGAGTCCTGGTGACTAACCTTATATGCAGAACGAATTTCAAAATGTGATGTGTAGTCGCTGCCTAATTCTTTTACAACTAAATCATTGAATTTCGCCGCCAGCGTTTCCGACAGTTGTAAAATTGTTGTTTTGTAATCACTTCGGATGTTCGTTCTTGTAGTGCTGTCATTTTGTGTGAACACAGTTCCGATGCAGACATTGGTAGATAATATAAAAAATAACCATGAAAACCTCATCTTTCCGTTAATAACATTATTTGTCGATAATATTTTTTTACACTTCAATGTACAACTGGTTACGATTCCTGCGCTTGACTATGACAGCTGCGAGCCTTCCCATTGTGTTTACAATTATTTTATAAAAAAGTAAAGTAAAAGTAATAGCACTGAAGTAATAACAATATTGTATACAGGCGCAAAGACAGCAGGTTTGTAACATTCATGCATTAGACAAAAATATTTCATAGACTGCGTTTAGTCAGTGCTGCCAGATAGCATTTGTATATATTATATTTTACAATGTCATTAAAATAAAAATACAGTATTGTAGTATGAAAATACAGTATGTATGTAATATGTGTAGAAGATATTCTAGGCAAATACAGCATTTTTTCAGTAATTATTCACCGTGCCGTATGTTTTAAAAATACATTCAATATTTAAATGCGTCGCTAGTGCAAAGATGGAGCCAGTGTCAAACACATTTCCCTATTATTGCTTAAGCTCACGTGCTTTAGTCGCAATGTGTTTTGTTTTAACCAGTTTTTTTGACAAGAAATTCGTTACAGTATTTTTACAATATAGTAAACAGTAATAGCAGTAATAATACAGTGAATCTACTGTAATTGTAATTATAGCGCATCTGGTATCACTACGTTGTGTAGGGATTACAATCTTAAATCACTTTATCGAAGAATCAATTTTATTTCCCAAAGAAAATCGATTTTCAATGGAATCACACAGATTAATTGATCTCAGACAGTTGAAAATAGAATAGATTTTTACGTAATAACTACTAATAATAATAATAATAATACCATAAAAATAATTTAAATAATAAATAAATTGATAAGTAAATAATTTATGAATATTTAAAGCAACACGTAAAAATATACATTAATTATTAAATAACCGATAGATAATTATATGACTACAGTGTCACCAAGTTATCTGTGAACTGATGGGTCTCGCCATCGTCGTTTCAGTGTTGCTAATTAATACCAATATATATATAAATAGAATCCTTATGTCACACAGCAGCTTTCATGGCACTGCACCCATTTCAAAAGCACCCATTTCAAAAAAGTCGAAGGCGTAAACGAAGATAAAATTAGGGGATTTTACCTTTGAAAACAATAAAAGGACAATCAGCGTCTGTTTGAGATACAGCTGAGGAGGATTACAGTTTTTTTACTGGTAAATAAAAACGTCCTTTGTAAGAATAATATAATATAAAATGCGTTTTGATTCGATAATTTAATTAATTTTCCCCCACAATTTTATTACCTTATTATCAACATGAGCATACGGCACATTTAAAGATGAGCGGTTACTGTCGCTCGTGGACGTCAGTAAGTCACGTTTGAAGAAAAACATATACTAGCATTCAGGAAACACCATGCAGGGAAATGAAAAGCAGAATGGTAGGTTTCATACTCGCTTTTAGCATATTTATCTTCTGTCCAAACTGAGTGTTCCTATGCGTCAATGTTTTTCTTTCTATCTTTTATAATAACCTTTTTTTTGGGCCAGGGCCGAACCTTCCGCGAGGTCGCGCGCGGGGTATGTGGGACTTGACGATCTGCAAGGTGTTGGGAGCAGACTGCGGACCCAAGGAATTTTAGGGCTCTACCGCACTAAACGACTCCCCTGCACTCTTACACTCGACGTCCGATCTCCGTCCGGAGTCAGAACCCGGTCAGAGTAAGGGGGTTCCCGCGGTCAACACTACAACCAGACACGCGGCGCAACCCCGAGGACGCCTGACCGACGGGTCGTCGAGGCGACGACCAACGACGCCGGTCTCCGCGGTACGGCGCGGCGGCGGCTGGTGTTCCGGGATACCCCGCTGGGCCAGAACCAGCCTGCCGAGTCGGAACGCGATACACCGCCGACCCGGTTGCCGCAGCCACCGACGCGTCCTCCCGTCCTCCTGGTGATCTTTATAATAACCTAGATCAACTTAGATAGCGATCATTTTTTTCGCCTTAGGCTACCATAATTTAATTTCGGGGAAACTGACAGGCCAAGGATTTATTTACAAAGACGACCTTGAGATAAAATAACCTTCAGAAATTACAAGTATACATTTTACAACCCTTTGTACAATCGAGGTCAACTTAGTTTATTGAATAGGTTTATCGTATAAAAGGCGTTTTGTTACATGAAACTTGAGTTTAACTAATGTTTCGCAACAGCACCTAATACTACGAGTAAAGGTGTATATACTCCACATGATATAAAGGATAAGTTTTTTCCTCACTATTTCAATTTCTGTGTGCACAAGTGACATTAACAGACGAATAACCTATTTCAGTCATAATAAAACTGATATCTTAAATAAAACATACACTAGATATTTTTTTATTTAATATCTAATTATTAAGTATGTGTATTAACAATAGAACTAATTAATAAGTGCATTATCTATGGACGGAGCTCATACGTACATACCAATTCATCGTCTCTTTGTGCGTTGGTTAGTGGTAGGGCATCTCTTTTTTTATGATTGAAAGATTACTGGTGGCCCGAAGGCCTTTCCAGTTTCACTAGGACAGGTGGGCGAGCAAAGGCTCAGCCAGGAGGAGTGGGATTTGTTAACAACTGCCCGAGTTCTACCGAGAGACTGCCGCTTCGTGAATGAATCTACTACTACCGGATTGGAATCGCGCCCCGCTGAGAAGGTCTGGGGAGAAACTCAGCCGGCTGATGCATGGTTTAGGTTGCACGTCGACCTCTTTGTCGAGTTCGATGAATATGGTTACCGGGGTCCCTAAGCCTGCTCCTAGTGTTAGAGCTGAAGGCGTGATGGTAGGGCATCTTGTGAGCCCACAAGTGTAGGCACCACCACGCTGCCTATTCTGTCGCGAAGCTGTTCCAACATCCGATTTGTACTATATAACTGAGGGCTGAGGCACTCATATCTCAAAGTCAGTGACGACATCTACATTGTTGACGATAGATGCTCCGTTAACCAATCAACATGAAGTGAGTCATGAGCCAGTTTCCGTGGTCTAAGCAATAAGAAACGTTATTAAGTTCTCGATTGACTTCCACGATGAAGGAATAACATCGTGTAATAAAAATAAAACCCGCAAAATTATAATTTGCGTAATTACTGATGGTAGGACCTCTTGTGAGTTCGCACGAGTAGGTACCACCGCCCTGCTTATTTTTGCCGTGAAGCAGTAATGCGTTTCGGTTTGAAGGGTGGGGCAGTCGTTGTAACTACGAGCATATTGAGACCTTAGAACTTATATCTCAAGGTGGGTGTCGCATTTACGTCGTAGATGTCTATGGGCTCCAGTAACCACTTAACACCAGGTGGGCTGTGAGCTCGTCCACCCATCTAAGCAATAAAAAAAAGTAAGACTTACCGATGATACATGAGTTTTTTTTTCTCCCATTTCTTGGCCTGCACGGTTTGTGCGTCAGCCATGCAAAAAGGTTAGAAAGTGTGTTAATGGATTTATTTTTTGGATTGGAAATTGGAACGGAATTTGGAAACAGTAAGTATTTTATAGTTATTAACGAATCAAACATGTTGTAAATACAGCAACTCTCGGCAATTTGTTTTGTTAGAGCGAGAGAACTATGCTTTAAATACTCACCTTTTTGGGTGTAGACCGCTAACGAGTCCTTGCTCTGCCCGATCGTGACCATTGGCCCTCATTGATGACACGACATGAATCACCCGCCTCTGTACTGAAATAAAGCTTATTCTACACTTCAATCTGGAACGCTTAACGAGTTTCTTTAAATTTGTTTTATATACGTAAACGCTAAAATAAAACACATACATCTTAGCAATTCTTCATACACGGCTTTAATTTTTTAATGGAGTACCTAAAAATAGTCGTAGATTTTAAGCTGGATATTATAATACATTAAATCATACCATTATAATGTAGGTTTATGAATTTTGATACGTATCAACCTGTATAGAGGCTAGCTAGAAGTTATCGCTCGATTCCGTAATTAGAATTTAGTTATTTGGGTTAACTGTCGTCTACAGGGTTTCTACTTCGAGAAACATTTACGAAGGGAAATTAACGTGGTTTGACGATGAATGTTAGTTTAGGGATTTCTCAAAGAACATTTTCGTTTTTACGAAATTTTCTAATTAATAAGTTGCATAATTATTTATTTGGATTTCATTAAAATTGTGTATTCACACTTCCCTACCATACTGTGTTATTATTGTCATGTTTTTAATTACCATAAACGGACTGTCTTTCTAATTTTTAAATAAAGCTCCGCAAATCTGCGATGTTCCATGATTAATTCTTACACGAACGACATTAGCAGACGCAGTTGAGTAGAAACCACAGTATACGGTACGTCGCTAAAAAGTCTCAAGAACATGATTGTTTCAATGAATCTCTTCTTGGAATCAAGTCTCACCTAAGTACATTTCAAAGTAGGTAGTGTAATAAAACGCCCACGTAATATGTAAATAAGTTCGTCGTAGTATGTTAATTACCGTATATTCACGTAATTGTTGATCGTAGAGGCTATGTAGACGACACGTAGTCTCTTTATGCGAAGGTGTGTACTTTCATCGATTGGTCAGGAGCGGCGTGGCTTACCGTCCGATCATTAACCCAGTTGTGTGGCGCTAGGCGCCCTGGCCGGGCACGCGAGCTGTCGCCGCGGCTCATTCCGGCGCCATGCAACTACCCGAAACACCGCCACCGCCTTTGGCGCCTCTTTGGGACCGCGTTTTGCGAGCCAGAGCGCTACCACCGGATTTGGACGTCGAGCTCCTGTATATCGCCATAAGGGATAGACTCACCCACCCAGAATGGGAAGTCCGATTGCACGCACTGAGGGTGCTTGCCGATCTACTGTCGCTGTCCGGGAATGCTCTGGCGTTTCCCTTCGATCAAGTGGTCGACAATTTGGGCCATAGTTCGCCGAACGTTCGGAAAGCCGCGCTCGACGCTTTGAAAGTGTTCTGCACTCATTGTGAAGACTCGGAATGCGCTGCCCAGGCTATAATGGACAAATGCTCGCACCAGAACATCAGGCCACATTCGGCAAACATTGAAATGAAGTTAAATGTCGTGACCGGATTAATATTATCGATACCTTCCTTGATAGGAATATTAAAACGAAGAAATCATTCTTTAGATATATTTCCCATTTTTCAAACTTTAGGCGAAAAATTATTTGATTCTGTACACGCTGATGTGGCTCAACGATCCTTGATCAAATTGAGAAGAGTCTGCGGGCAACGGGATTACATGATGTGCTTGTCAAAATTAGACCGTAGAGTACATGAGAAATTTCGCATACTCTGCGAAACTTACGATGAAGATTCGTTGGATGTGTACTACGCGCCAAGGAAAAACATTTTCAGGGATAACAATAACCAGCAGTCGTTTAAATTAAATCACGTGTCTAACAAAACTGTACCTACTCCTTTGAGGATATCTGCAGAGTCCTCTTCGGACGACTCTTTTGCGAGAATGTCTTTCTACAATAACAACTTCGCTAAAGTTATTATCGAGACTGAAATAAAATTCGACTCCGATACTGCGATCACGATGACCGTCCTCGAAGAAAACGAGACTGAGTCTGACCTGAACACAGTGAGTGAGGAGGATTACGATAGCTCCGACATGAATATGCTAAGGTACAGCGACGGAGATTCCGAAGACACCGACGTGGTAGTTAAAAGAGTACGGTTTGGTGGTGAAGTAGTGAAAATTAGAACTCCCGACAGTGAAAATACGACCACCGATGACGACCACAAAAATAATCGAGCCATCACAGAAACTAATAATGTTGAAGTAATTTCAACTAGGACCATTGATACCAAGACGAAAGATATTAATCGTGAATCATTGGAAAATTCACAAAAAAAACAAACAAAAAGAAGTGGCATTCCACTGCCTGTGATTCAGAACACAAATACCAATAAAAACTTATCTAATTACAACAAGTCGAAGTTAAAATCGAAGTCTTTGAGCGAGTTGTACGATTATTTTAAAACGAAGAACGATGTTGACGGAAAAACCAAAGAAAATTCTGGGTTTGCTTTAACACTCTCAGAGATACATTCTCCGGAAAAAGTTCCCAGTCCTGTGGGAACACATAGGGAAGTGGAGGTGCTCCATAATTTACAACGGAGTCCCGTGGTGTCTCCGAGGCGACAACAGACACAAGTTTTTCTGGAACAGAACGGGTAAGCAACAAAATTTGGAACAAAGTAGTAGTCTAAAAAATTGTAGACAAAATACATTAATAAAAAAAAATATATACATTTTTTATTGTATTAGGGATAGTTTCCAGATTTTTTTTATTATTTGAAATCAACCAATTTTTCTATGACAACTAAAATAATACAACAAAAAAAGCTTATTGACTTGAGCACTTAAAATACACTTCATGTAACATAAAATTTAATAAAACATAATTTTAAGTATAAAAACTGAAATTGATACATTCTCGTAGCTGCGGATCTCCTATAGGTCAAGTGTTTTAGTGGCGTAGATGAATTGTGTAAATAGTATGGGACTGCCGATATCGCACCCCTGGTTACCAATAGCTATGAGAAAATGAATGCAACCTACCTTGAAAAGTTCGATTGAAATTTCGTCAATTACTATTATGATCCATCATTTGAGCGGCAACAATGGTCTTGAAGGACATTTCAACCTGTGTAGATTCATAAAAAACATAAAACGTCCCTAAACTTTTATTATAATGTTGTTATATTATATTGTTATATTAGACACACGATTAATGAGAAAATTTGGTGCCTGAAGGGGCAGGGGCAGGGGCTGAGTGGTTTACACTACAGCATAATTGCAGGACGTGTCTTCGATACGAGTCCACTACGAAAATATGTATTACAGTCGCTCAATCGATTGGAATAAAGTGGACTAATCTATACTAAGCCATTTGAAGTAAATGTTTCAATAATAGTAATTACTCCAACCCACTGAGTTCCTCGCTGAATCTTCTCACTAAGTCGCGATTCCGATCCGGTGGTAGATTCCGCGAACCACTGTTCTTGCTAGGGTCAGTGCTAACAAATTCTCTCAGGTTGAGCCCGTGGGTTCACTTACCTTTACGGTACATATTGTAGCCTAAGGGGGTACCAACGAATAGATAAGGGGAAAAGTTATTAACAGCATTAACCGAAATACTAATTTCGTTGCTCGTTGTCCATCATTATTATCTAAATCAAAAACAAAACAGTTTAATAGAAAAAACCGTCAATCTGTTTTTGTTTTTCAAATAGACATACATTTCACTACATATTTCACGTATACGTACCTACATAAAATCGTTTTGAAATGCTTTATTAAATCATAATAAAAGTAGCAGACATAATTGTGAAAAAAAAGGAATCATTATAATGAATCAAAGTCGACTTGACGCACGAAATGTGAAGACTGTGATCAAGTTCACGGCTGGCACCCTGTAAGCATTGTACCGACATTGCCCGCTGCCAAGGACATTGACGGTGGCGGCTTTAAGGCCATCTTAGCCCTTTTCAATTATCGGCTCGAACTTAAATAATAATGTATTAATAACTTAAACAATTATCTAATCTATACTAATATTATAAAGCTGAAGAGTTTGTTTGTTTGAACGCGCTAATCTCAGGAACTACCTACTGGTCCGATTTTAAAAATTCTTTCAGTGTTAGATAGCCCATTTATTGAGGAAGACTATATAACATCATGAGACACATACAAGTGGAGCACCAATAAGGAATGTTTCAAAATATTTTCACTTTCTACGTAAATGATGTGGGGGGTAAAATTTTACGTTATGCCAAAGTAACTATTCCACGCGGACGGAGTCGCGGGCAAAAGCTAGTTATTTAAATTTATTAACCAAAATTTGTATAATACTATTCTTTATTTATTCTAATTTATTAATAATATTATTCTTTTACTACGAGCACTCATCAAATATATACCTAATTGTCACACTCTCTTGGATTTACTAGAAGATATATTTTAACGAAATATGCAGTGTATCCGTTCATAATTTTCTCGTTACCTCTTGTATGTTATGATTTCCTGTTTGTGTACAGATTCATCCTAAATCTGTTATCATCTTCTCATGCTGACGAAGACCTGTTATCTCCAAAACCTTTAACGCCACTTCAGCCACATTACGACTGGGAGGATTTGAATATTATACCTCAATATGTTTCCGATCAACTACACAATACGGTCAGTATTCTAGTTAAGTAAAAGTTGAAGAATACGCCCAGGAGTGAAATACCATACGATATACAGATTGTGTGTTTGATTAATTAGGCAAACTGGATAGCAGCAGTGAAAGCGGCGGATCAACTCCACAGTGCTCTGCTAGATCCGGAGAATGTAAGACGAGTTGAGCCTGCCGCGAAATCGCTGGTGCAACACATGTGGGCTCTTAGCGACGCGGTAAGCAGTCAAAGTTTTTTTTTTATGAATGAGGTATTACTGGTGGCCCAGAGGCCTTTCTAGTTTCACCAGGAAAAGTGGGCGCGCAAAGGCTCAGCCAGGAGGGGTGGGATTTGCTAATAGCTGCCCGAGCGCCTCCAAAGGGGACTTAACAACTCAAGAGCAATTGCTTCCCGAATGAATCTACTACCGGAACGGAATCGCGACACGCCGAGAAGATCCGGCGAGAAACTCAGCGGGCTGATGCATGGGTTAGGTTGAAGCAGACAAAGTTCACACTAAGCACCATGTATCGAACACCGACCCAGCCGCATCGCTCGATACGAATGTACCGCGCGCATTGAATGAATGAATAAATGATTTATTTTATTTCAGACAGCAAGTCCATGTGGATACATATCCTTGAAACAAACTTAAAATTAACAAAACCAATCAAATAAAAAAGATACAATTATTAAAAATAATTATCAGTTGAATACATTTCAAATATTCCATTCAACTGATACTTACTTCCAACCAACCATTATTATTATTTAGTCCGCAAGTGAAACATGGTACAATGGTTCAAGTACCAGCAGTCATAACGGTCTGTTACTGCCTTCAGGATGCTGTTAGGGCTGACCCGGACCCGGCGAATCAGGGATGTGCACCTTTTCCGCATGCATTACCCTTTAGGATAAATTCAAAACCTAATCGGATTTGTACCTACCTGTTTAGAACTTTTTCTATTCAATCTAGATTTTATAAACATATACGTCCATAGTTCTTGTGGACAGTAACTTTGCGCCACACAGGTGTCAGCCGCTAAAGCTCCCGCAGAAGGTGCCGTGTGTGCTTTAGTTCGGGCAGCCAGTAACGACTGCGCGCGACACCTGCTGCCCGTCCTCGTCGCCAGGATGGCCAGGGAGCCGCTGCCGTCTGCTCTTCCACATGCCATGCTCCAGCGACTAGCCTTGCATCACTTAGTCGACCTTATATTTGATCCGTCCATGATTGGCGTAAGTGAGAGCATCATTAAAACTCTGATATAATTAATAATCAATAATAGCATTGGGCCATGATTGAAGTTCTTTTTTTTATTGATTAGGTGGGTGGACGAGCTCACGGTCCACCTGATATTAAGTGGTTACCGGAACCCCTACACCTCTACAACGTAAATGCCGCCACCTACCTTGAAATAATAATTGAACACCATTGCATCGCAAGATACGAATGCATTATTGGCCTAATGCATGCATTGCAATGCATGACGACTTCTAATTGAGTAATCTCCTGATATTAATATTCAACATTTCGCGTTCGGAAGACAACGTATCTGAGTAATTGAGATAGCATAGATGCTTCGGTAGAATGGATAATTTCTGATCAGTATTGTAACAAGTGTGACAACTGAATAATTTCCAATGAAATAGTACATTTAAGTACTACAAGTAAGAGGATGGAAAAAATGTATTTGGTCTAACTTAACGCCAATGCACATTATTTCATTTTTTTTTTTTTTTTTTTAATTAAACTGTTTACTAATTAATTGCTCCTTCAGGATTTATATTTGTTTTTTTTTCACGATTAAAACCGCGTAGAAAGTTTAGGCATTATATTTTTTTTTTTTTTTTTTTTATGATTGAAGGATTACTGGTGGCCCGAAGGCCTTTCCAGTTTCACCAGGACAGGTGGGCGAGCAAAGGCTCAGCCAGGAGGGGTGGGATTTGCTAACAACTGCCCGAGCGCCTCCGAAGGAGACCTAACAACTCAAGAGCAATTGTTTCGCGAATGAATCTACTACCGGATCGGAATCGCGACCCGNCCATTGATTACCGGCGGAGTGAGGGGAGGACGTACGTATTTAATGACGCGTATACGTCGGCGTATTCTTGCACAACGGCGATAAAGTGTTGTGCAGTGGAGGCAGCGCGAATGGCGTCGCCCAAAGCGTTAACGCGCTCAAAGTTGATCGACTGAAAGAAGTCGATCGCTAAAGCGAGATTGTCGGACGCGGTCGGAGGGGTTTAGGCATTATAGTTGACGCATGCGCAGTACACATATTTTGCATACATTTATTCAACTAATAAAAATAGTAAATTAAACAAAAAACGAGTAATTTCGAAAGAGAACAAACGTGTTTTGTATAAGAACAATCGAAAATGAATATTTACGAGTCATTAAGGATGATAAAATATTAAAAATTGCATTAGAGGGGCTAACTTGTAGGTATATTTTTAAATATTTTTTTTAAATAAATAAATGCAGAACAAACAATTATTAACAGTGAACAATCATGAACAAATGATGAACAAACAAATTAATAGAAAATAAGTATAAAATCGGAAAAAAAAAATTTTTTGAGGGGCTAACTTCATTCACCTGTTCCATTGCACGATCCTTCACGAAAATGTATCTAACGTATCTAATTAGATTTGGAGAAATTAAAACACTAAAAATTTCCTATAGGTGACAGGAGACTCTGACCGAGTGCAGAGTGCTCAGCTAAGAGCGACGTTGTGTTTGGCGAGGGCGGCAGGTCCTGCCGCTGTACTATCTGCCGTGCGGAGAAGACTGGCTGGCACAACCAGAGCTGACATCTTTTGTCGAAAGGCAAATATAAAAATATTTAAACCACACAAAAAGAAGCCCAAGTTCCAATATTCAAAAACATCAAACTAGATTTTACATTTATCTTTGAGTTTGTTATGTTACATCACTTGTCTACATGTCTTAATCGCAATAACTTCTATCGAGCAAAATCATTTCTCTTTGCTATGAGAATCACCATTCCGATGCTTTTTATTTGATCCTTCTATGCAAATAAATAAATAATTAATCAGACACAAATCACACACGGTCGTTTGGCCCCTAATATTTCTTGTATCTGTTCATTAATACTTTGTTCCCTTTTTACGAAAATTGCGCGGACAGAGGCGTATGAAATTTTCCACGCTTATAGAAAATATAGAGACGGAGTGGAGAATGCTAATATCTTTTCAAAATTATGCATAAAGAATACATTAAAATAAAAGGATAAACATTACACACACTACCATGGTCAAATACACACACGCATATATACTCTTTTATTTATTGTTAAAGTCTTTGGTCAAATTGAGAATAGATTAATATTGTTTGTCTTCAATATTATTTGCCTATAATGTAGCCTTGGCGAAGTTTTGCGATGAGAGAAATATGTATTTAATTACGTTAAAATAAAACATAATTATATAGATATTTAACACCCGGACAATAAGAAAACAAGCCTGTTTGTAATACGATTGTTTGTCCGCTGTTAGCATCAAACACAAGACCTTGGGCCAAACAGTCAATTCACATGTAATCCTTTTTTCCAAACAGCTTCGCGAACGTCTCAGCAGACCTGTAGAAAATATAAAGCCAAGTTACATAACCAGGTATTTTATGCCATTTCTTATTCAATAACTCAAGCTCCCTTTGTACTTAGAATGGATGTAGGTACATACATTCCTTGTTGTGGATTAACATATCTTAAACTTAGTTTAGGGGCCATTGATGTATTAAAAAATATTTTATACTAGCTGACCCGGCAGACTTCGTAGTGCCTCAATCGATAAATAAAAGACCTAAACTTTTGTATAAAATAAACTTAAAACAAACAAAAGGAATCCGTCCGACGGAGGACATATCAAAGGAAAAACAAAATTGTAATTTTTATTAAATTCCGAGCATTTTCATATTTATCTACCTTTTAAACCTTCCCTGGACTTCCATAAATAATTCAAGACCAAAATTAGCCAAATCGGTCCAGCCGTTCTCGAGTTTTAGCGAGACTAACGAACAGCAACTGCCCAATCATCATCCTACGTGTATAGTGGCGAGTTCTTCTGCAGTAAGGGTATCCTCCTGGTAAATGGACAGATGACCCTTTTTTCAGACACTATAATGTTATTGGTAATTGCATCAAGGTAACTTTTTGTAACTGCAACAATTTTCGAAAGACCTTGCTTTGTAAAAACACGATAGTAATTAGTTAGCGATATAAGTGATGATGACAAAATGTGCTAAATTACTATGGTTGGCTACCAAAGTAGTAGGGGAGACCGTGGCAAGATGAGATAGCTAAGACAAAACTCGCTGTACAAAGACAATTATACTCTTTAATTAAATTCTTTAAGAAAACAAGTAACACTTATACATTTGTCTCTTAAAATTAATAATTTTATCATGCAAAATCACAGAACTTTTTTGACAAATAATGATTAACGATAATGAGGCGAATTTCCCGTCTTGCCCCAAGGACGGGGTAAGACGGGAAATGCTACGGGGCAAAAGGAGTACGTATTTTAATCGGGCAGACAGCGTTCACAAATGTGTGCCTCGTCGTCTTCTTCATCTACTCCGGCACAGGAATCGTGTGCCTAACCATGGCAAATACTGCAGATAGCTCAACCCTCTGTTGACTCTTAGTATAAGTAACCACAATAGACGCAGGCCCAGTCACCGTCCTCCTCATAAAATGAACTATATTCCGATTCGATTTCTTTGGCGAGTCTTTTAGCTTGACGCTTGTTTTCAGTCCTTTTTATCTTCTTATTTCCAAGTTTATGTATTCGTTTTTTATCTTTTTAAGTCTTCTGTCCATCAGTCTTCATCCGCTTCCGTTCATTCAAAAGTTCATCTCGCATCTGCTTCCGAGCGTATATTGTACATGGGTGGGACATACGTTCTATGGCTATGCTATGCATAGCTCTTGCGGCTGATGTCGGTTCTGGGCCAATCTTCTCCTGCCATGCCAGTTTCTTCATTAAGTGTGCTATCTATATGATTTCGCTGAGCCAACTGATAAGCTTATTACACGAAGTTATTTTCCTGTTAACCGTGCTTCCATAGATTTCACACATTGCGCCAACTCATCTTCTTGTTTTGCTGTAAAAACAGTTTTGAATCGTCACAAATGCTTTTTCCCATACTTAGTCGTTACCGGAATCAGTGTCGTCATCCACAGTATCACGAGCTTTTCTTACACGGCGGCGGAACATTATATGTAGCAGAGGCTCGAGGAAGCCCCATCTTGTTATTAAGAACCCATAAGACCCAGAACTTCAGGGTCCCATTTGCCACGATCTGTTTTTCGTTTATAGTTCCGAACCATTGTATCTGAGAAAAAAACTTTATGAGAAAAGCAACGATATATCTTGCTAATGTAGAAGTTACAACAATATGTTACAAGAAGCTTACAGTTCGCCTGATGGAAAGCGGTTACCGTAGCCTATGGACGCTTGCAAAACCAGGTTGCAATACTATCGATAGGTAAGTAGGTACACAGAAGGTATTATTTAAACCACAAGGAAGGGGCAAAACGGGATAGTATCCCGTTATGCCCCGATCATTGTGCCCCGACCCACTGTAGTCAAATAAGTAGAAGCAATTCTAATATTAAATCTTACCGGCGCAAAAACCTAATCTGAATTTAAAGTGTTATAGTACTACAAAACGCTGAGGATTAAAACATTATATTAATTCAAGTACTTACATGCCTGCACATCAGTTTCTTAATCAAAAACCGGATAAAACACTTGCAAAATCAGTTTTTTTCCTATACAACGCAAAAACGAGATCCAACACGTGCGCTTTGCTCGGACGCACTTGCGCAGTCTGAATTTCGTGCAAATGGCGCTGTTACCGGTCCGAACACGATTACCATTCATGGATACAAGCTTACTTCCCGTCCTGCCCCGAACTTCATCTTGCCCCGGTCTCCCCTACATGAAATAAATATTTGAAAACATTTTCAACAACTTCTAAATATCGTTTTTATTCATGTTTAACGAGGTACCGACGTGTCAGGTAAAAATGGGGCTAACGAAAATTATATACTAACTTGAAATATAAGGTCGTCATTTCGGGAATGCTGTCATCGAATCAGGAAATACCCTGTAAACTTATAATAGGTCCAATTTCCTAGGCTGTTTTTGTTGAAGGTTAACATTAACTCACGGCTGGCTGGTATTATATAGTTACTGAAAGCTATCTCAACTTCGTCGCAGAAATAGCCAAAACAGTGGCTAGGTGGGTCTTTCATTGACGCCAGTTCTCAAATAGGTGCCAAATAAATAAATAATATATATTATGTAATAAATAATAATAATTTATCCTCATAGACTATACTATGGGTTATTATTCAGGACTTCACAGTTGCCGGTACCCGTGCGGCGACGTGCGAGGTCCACGCCGCCCCCCGTGGGACCACCCCCTCCGCGCCGTCTCAGACCGCTGCCGGACTCTGCCCCCTTGCCGGGTCAGTACATTCAGTTCATACACACTAATGACCCGACTTCTGATGCACCCGAGAACACAGATGAAACACGTTCAATATTGGACACAGACTTTGTTCAAAGAATAGACATATTGAAAGGTTCAGGCAGGGGCGGGGGGTGTGGATGTCAAATTCGCAATTGTTTGGCGATCGAAGTGCTACTAAATTCAGTGACACGACTATGCCGGAGCTTAAATCGCATGATACCTACTAATGTTTGTTAGGAATTATATGCTTCAAGCATTTTCACGAAGGATTTCCGCGATGCAAAATTTTGAAATTTTCTATTCGTAATCTTAAAGTTACATAACTATACGAATCGTCATCTACCTACTTACCTACGTTGTTTAGTGAGTTCTATAAAAGTAACCAATACCACGGAATAGATAAGTTTATTTATCCTATTACCTTATTTATCTATTCCGTGACCAATACCATACATGTGTATAGTTAGAATCCCATTGACTAATTGTTTTTTTCTTTTTTTTAATTCCCATTTTTCCCAATGTTTTATTTATTGCGTAGATAAGTGAACCAGCACACGGTCGATGTAGTAAGTTAAGTAGCCACGGGAGCCTTTAAACAGCAATGCATAGAACATCAACGATAATGCTGCCACTGGCGGTAGGACGTCTTGTGAGTCCGCGCGGGAAGGTAAAACCACCCTGCCTATTTCTGCCGTGAAGCCGTAATGCGGTTCAGTTTGAAGGGTAGGGCAGCCGTTGTACTGTTAAAACTGAGACTTTAGAACTCATGTCATAGGGTGGGTGGTGGCATTTACGCTGTAGATGTCTATGAGCTCCAGTAACTACTTAACACAGGTGGGCCGTGAGCTTATCCACCTATTTAAGCAATAAAATAATAATAATAAATCACCCTCATGAAGTCGATATCATAATTGCAATGTATCACTAACAGGCTCCAATTAAGTATTTTGTGGCTATAAATATGAAATGGAATTCTACAAACACTTTGCCCGTTTTTGCCTTTTTGCCTTTAATTATTTAAAACAAATTGCTTTTTATTCAACAGGTGTGATTCAACCAGGCAGAGAAATCTTTCTGAAGCCGTTGTCACCAATCACATTTGGCGAGAGGTGAGTTATTCTTGGGCCTTAGAATGAGTATATCAAAGGACGAAAAATGAATACGTATCTTAATTTTTACGCGATAAAGTCATTATTTGCTAAACCAATTCTTAACTGTACATAGTTTTTTAGCGAGCTTTATTATTATGAACCCGCAATCTAAAGCGAAGTTGGTTCGATCGCGTCACACAAGAACGCGTGGCATTGACCTCGTGACATAACGTTCGCGCGTTTATCTGACTACAAAAAACTGTCAACTTAGCACCTGCAAATTCGCTAAGGTTATACGAGCACTACAACTATGTGTGGAGCCCGTGAAGTTGTTAGCATTTTTTTTTATTCAGCAACACTAAAGGCGGGGCCTGACTAGATTTTTCTAGTTTACTAACTACATAACCAACTAACTTTAACAATGTTAATAACAGCTAAGTAAATGCGTAAGTTTTATTATAATTAGTAAAAGTAAAATAATCTATACATATCAATAAAATTGGAGTGTCTGTTTGTAATATTGAAATAACCGTTAACTCTCAGACACAGCCCACTGAGTTTCTCGCCGGATCTTCTCAGTGGGTCGCGTTTCCGATCCGGTGGTAGATTCTGCGAAGCACGGCTCTTGCTAGGGTTCGTGTTAGCAACATCGTCAGGTTTGAGCCCCGTGAGCTCATTTTTTACAATTTTTGTTTGTCTGTCTGTCTGTTCCAGCTAATCTCTGGAACGGCTGACCGATTTTAACGGGAATTTCATAGATAGGTAGCTGATGATATAAGGAGTAACTTAGGCTACTTTTTTTAGACTGTCTTCGCCCCGCAGCGTCACCCACGGTCCGATAATAACCGCGGGTAACATCGCGGGACTCAGCTAGTAAATAATAATAAAACTTACGTGAACCATTTAGCTGTTGTGATAAGATTTTGTGTGGAAAAGCGAATGAGCCCATAGAGATCAAAACATGAATGTCGTCACCTACCTTGAAACACGAGATCAAATTCTTAATTGTATGGTATATTCGCTGTACCCGTGACTGTTTCGCGGCAGAAATTTGCAAGATCTTGGTACACACCTTTGCGGGTTTATAAGACGCCTAAAATTGCGTCTAAAAATAGTACTCCTGGGATATAAAGAACTTAGGTACGTATTTGTAAAAATCACATGGCGCACCAGGATTTCTCTTTAATAGCTCTGAGTATATATAAGAAATACAACTAGACAATAGTATCAAGCGGTTCGTTTAAAATCTTTTTCTATTCTATTCCATTCCAAGTACACGAGGTCACGTCATTTCGGATCCTCCTGATCCACTAAAGTTGCTTTTAGGTACCCCAAGCACCGGACATCGTCCGTCGCTTGCGACGAAGAGCTCGGCGAGTAAATTAACCCACAGACACAAGATTCGGCGAGAAACTCATTGGGTCGCGGTTCCGATCCGTTGGTAGATTCTGCAAAGCACGGCTCTTGCTAGGGTTCATGTTAGCAACAACGTCAGGTTTGAGCCCCGCGAGCTCACCTACTAGTTCGGTGAATCTAGAATAACCCCTCGATGTTACTAGAATACGTAGAAGAAAAAAAACAAGAGGACGGGCTGTAATATCAATCGTAAGTTATTAATCCTTAAGAAGTTACTCTGAAGTATGTACCTATAAACTTTATATTTGAGAAAGACCATAATGTAACCTTTTATACTAGAATGTAGACTAGTAGATCTCCATTACTTAATGAAATATTTAATAAATATACGAGGTAGTCAAGCACTATGCGTAACCGACATAGATTAGACACAAATAAACAATAACAGCTGTAATTATATTAATTAATGTCAAGTTTGACGTTTGAGTGTGGGGGTGGGCACCGGGAAATATTGAACACTGGCCTTGAGTGTGGGATCCACGCAGCTGGACTATACTCTCTAACCTTAAAGAAATCATTAAAGAATACAATTTTATTATTGTGTTTAACATCAAGTATCGATTTAGAATTAGCCGTGAAATAAATAACGACCATTCGATTCTGTGATTAAGAAAATAGGTTGCATTTGAAATATATTATTCACTTACTAGAGCTAATACAGCTTATTACATTAAATGATAGGTACCTACCTATTTAAAATTTATGTTATAAAATTTTACTTCCTACTTCCATACTAAGGACTTGATTAGACCTACATAACGGCAACCTTGAAGCAGATGATTTGAAAGGACAGCGTTATAAAAAAAAAGTGATTTCAGCTTAGTGTTTTAAAATGGTATTCACATTGTGATGTCTCTGTTACTCAGTTAAAAACAGATGGGACTTGAGCCCGATCAACGAATTAGTGTAATAGAAAAATGCAAATTAACCACATACTACACTAGTGGACCTGGTGGTAGCTGTCCTGGTCTGAAATAATAATTTGAATTCCAAACTAACTGAATCCATTGGATACAGTTGTATATCAATTAACAAAAAAGTTATCCAAATCGGTACGAGCGTTTAAGAGGAGTTTAGTGAGAAACCTAAGAAGACTTGTCCAGGTGAAGATTCCGTCGTGATTCCGTCTGAAGGCCATAGACGACGGAATCTTCATCATCATCAGTATGATGATGTCGCCAACCACCTTGAGATATGAATGCTAAGTCTCAATAGTCTTGTACATATATATTTTGTCTCATTGTTTAAACCGAAATGCGTAACTGCAAAAATGGTTAAATAGGTGATACCTCCTCGTGCGGACTCACAAGACGCCATACATAATTATTAATTCATCGTTTTGATAGCGGTAAAATTAATTAACTAAAACATTTCGAACACTGAAAAGGTTAGATTGGTCAAATGTAACGTCAAATGTTGGTTTCATTATTCACGGTTCTTATTACTTAACCAAAATTACGGATATTGTAATGCTTAGTCATTCAGTTTGGTGCGAAATTCATGGTATCATGGCAACGTTAAACTGGGTTTTGTCACGATTATGATAAGTTTATCGTCTCGAACTTCACGTTCTTAAGTAAGAAACTGTTCTAGCGATCGTCAACTTTGTAAACTCCAAATATGTTACTTAGTGTCTAAATTCACTATTTGGGAACTTATTTGATAAACATTCCTACTATTTGGTAAAAGGGAAAATGTGTCATAATCTATTATAATAATATTAATACGTGAAGCAAAAACTTTGTATCCCTTTTTACGAAAATAGCGCGGATGGAGGAGTCTGAAATTTTCCACACTTATAGAGAATATCGAGAAGAAGTGCACGATGCTAATATTTTTTTAAAATAATGCCTTAAAGAGACATTAAATCAATAAAGAAAACATTACACACACTACATACCATGTATTTGACGCACACACGCATGCATAATATTTATTGTCAAACTTTTGTCTGTTGTCAAATTGAGAATAGTTTAAATATTGTTTGTCTTTAATCATATTTTTTATAGTGTAGCCTTGGCGAAATTTGTGATTATAGAACTATAGAATACAATCATAATAGTGTACAAACTTACAATTCCAATTAATTATAGTCGAATTTCGACTACTGCGGAACCTCTAGTACTTAAAAATATGCTTTAAAAATAATCCAATCAACATCTTAAAGGTCAGATTGCTCTATACGAGTATGAAGCTACTCGTATCACATACAAGTACTAAATACTTACTAACATTGTCTGAACTTCGGTTGGTAGTACTGGATGGCTCACCTTATTACACGACCTGATTTTTTTCAGTTGTTCCTTAAATTCTATTCTGACACTTGGTTTACAAAATTATCCAGGGAGATTTGAATAAAGTCAACCTCACGAACAGTTATATTTTAAACAACATTAACATTAGCTAGCTAAGCCAAACATTAATAACAACATGAATACATGACCAATTTTTACGAATATTTTTTTAGTGGAAGCTAGAGAATGATTTTAATTTAAGAAGTATTTATTAATTATATCATATTATAATTGATTTTCCTCTTGTAAACAACGATAGTTTCTTGTTATTTCAATGTATGCCATATATTGCCAGCCGAAATAATAGGTACGTAATGGCGTGACACGAATGACCCACATTTTGAAACGTTTAAATTATTAGCTTGCCTACATCCATTGAGGGTGATGGTGAAGTACGGTCTTCGTGACCCATTTATTGTATCGTTGGATCGTTCCACTTTCTAGAAAGCGAAACACGATTACATTTCGGAAATATAGTTTATGTCACATAATGTGATTTCATTGACATCAGTGTTTTTGATTCGCATTTTTTTTCGGATGTAAATGATCAAAACGATCACGGGTTTCATCTGGTTTTATTGAGTTATCAGAACTAATAAAAATCACAGGGTTTAATTAATTTGTAATATCATTCTTCAGTAATTCAATCAAGTAAATATGGACTAAGATTACCTATACCGTCAAGAATTGTTCGGTAATCGATTATTTGACGCTACATAGACTGCGAAGTGCCAGGCAATCTGCATATTATTATGCAGGCATGTCGATTAGTGAGCACTGGAGCGGAAGTGTGTAACCGGGTAGCGGTGTGAAGCCGAAGGGCGCGGCAGTCACCAGTCATGCGGTTGTGCTGCTGGGCGTGCGGCGCCGTGCAACCCGCCACATCCACCCTCCCACTCGACCTCGTCGCCGACCTACCCCCGCACACCCGGTACCCAAACCCCACCCACCGTGTCTTCAAACTAACCGATACAAACATATCTTCATGTATCAATAACCATGTTATTTTGTTTATAGGGAACCCAGTTCCGTTGTGGCTCTCCCTCGAAGCGAAGGAATTTTGAAATCGAAGTCGTCGTCGTCGATTGATTCTGGAAAAACAATTGCGGCAGAAATTGTCGAGGAAGTGACGCCGTCCCGATCTGCACCGCCGACACCATCTCGATCGCCGTCGATCCGTGTGGAAGATTATTCTGAAAACTCGAACGTTTCGCCGGTCAAATCGAAACACGACTCGAGGTCCGCGTCAGTAAAGAGTGTGACCGGATCACGGATCGAATCAAGAAACTCGATCGAAAGTCGAAGTTTAGAACCGAATGCAGTCAACAGACCCGATTCGCCGAACTCGGTTCACAGTGCAGAAGCGTCACCGACGTCGAATCGGAGCCGGACACCAGGACTGCCCAGCGAACCAGTCGAAGTATCGACATTGACCCGAGAACGGGACGTGCGAGGAGCCCTTGCCGAGTGCATCTTGCCGCCGCGCCATGAAGACTGGGAAGCGATTGTGACTGGACTCACGGAAATCGAGAGGCTAGCGGTTGACGAAGCTGCACGTGCGCCCGCCTCCACATGGCGCGCCGTGACCCGCGGAGCCACTGCTCACGTGAAGTCGCTGCGATCACGCGTGGCGCGCGCCGCGTGTCGCACGGTGGGCGCGTTGTTCGAACACCGCGGTCGTGTCCTAGAGCCTGAGCTGGAGGAGACGGCGGGCGCGTTACTGGAGCGATGCGCGGACGTCAACAGGTTCTTGCGAGCGGACGCAGCCGGCGCGCTGTGCAGCGTGGCGTGCGGTGGCAGCATGGCGCGTGCGGGCGTGGCGCTGGTGCGGCGCGGGGCGGGCCACCGCGCGGGTCCGGTGCGGGCGGCGGCGGCGGCGGCGTTGGTGCGGCTGGTGCGACGCGGGACGGCAGCTCGCATCTTGTCCTTGTCTCCGGAGCCGCGGACGATGTTGCTGCGGGCGGCGGGCGAGCTGTTAGCAGATGCCAGCGCCGAGGCGCGGCTACACGCACGCCAGCTGTGCCTTATCCTGTCTGAAGACGTACGTTTTCGACCGCTGCTGAAAGAGGCGATGCCACTTTCGCGATATCGAGCCGTCGAAAAATTAATAGATAAACTTCAAATACCGTAACGTCGAACGATTTGAAGTGTACGTCGGTTTCAGTTATATCCGCTCTCGACATGTGAGACTAAATACCACTTGTGTCGTGATAGTACCTACCCTAATTTTGGTGAATGTACAAACAATTTATTACGTAAAAAAATGTTTTTATATTGTACATTTATTGTTACAGTGCCCACTATTTAATATCGCTTTGTAATCTTATTTTTTAAATTGTCTTTAAGGTGAAAATGTGATTTATCGAATTTGTATCGACGACTGAACCGTGCGAAAGGTATTTTTGTAGTAATTTGACACGATTGATTCTTATTGATTGTTCAGAAATAATGATGAATAGTAAGTATATTACAGTCAAACAGGCATTTAAATCTAACCGCGAATCTTGTAAAATTACACTAAATAAATAAAAGAAACATCCAGAAAAAAATGTTTCAAAAAAAACTGTCCGGTTTACGCACAGCGACATCTTAAGCTTATACTTATTCATTAAAACCTTAATGAACTGTTTCGTTTAATGATTTGTCTGCGTAACGTGCCTTGAATTTTTTTTGCATGTTTCTTACTTAAATGTTTAAGAAAGCATGTGCCTTTAACACATGTACTAGTTGTGAGACCATCAAGTATTCCATGTCATATTGTCAGAGGTTAAATTAATAGATCTAGTAGATCTAGAGATCATATTAGAAATAATAGATAGATACCTACATTGAGCTAAACAAATATGTGTATTTATATCAGTGGATAGATATGTCTATATTATTGTTGCTTTTGATTTCAGCGAATACAAAATAAGAACGGGGCTAAAAAAATTTATTATAAGTTCGGCCAGTCAACTCAAATTCCGATTTAAATTATTTTAAATGCTTGTTCGACTGAACTATAAACAAACGACTAGTTATCCTCCGTTAGAGCGACATAATTGTAAATGAAATAAAAAAAAAGTTTTATGGACTTATACTGTGTAAATGATTATCATGAAATAACAAGACTTAACTCAATATAATGTTTATTTATTTTACAACTATTCAATTTTGAGAGCACTAAAACTTCACCTCCAAGTAAATTAAGTTTTATTATCCTTTAAAAAGAGAAGTTCACAGACTACACAATGTGAAGCGACCAGTGTGCTTAGTGCGAGTTTCATAACATTCTCGATAGCCTAAAGTTAAGCCAATTTTGTATGCAATTGGAACAGCGCCCTAAAACGTACGTACGATCCGATTCCATACAAATATGAGCTAACTTTTACGCTATCGAGAACGTTAAAAAACTCGCACTACGCACACTGGGCGTGAAATGCGCTCTTTTTTTTTTCCTACCTAATCTGATAGCCTTGAGAGGCTATTTCAGCGTAACCGTGGCTAGCAGGTGAGCTCACGGGGCTCAAACCTGACGACGATGCTAACACGAACCCTAGCAAGAGCTGTGCTTCGCAGAATCTACCACCGGATCGGAAACGCGACCCACTGAGAAGATTCGGCGAGAAACTCAGTGGGCATCGGCGCTCCATAACAGATATACAACAAAAGGAAGGTCTTCCACCGAGCGGGGGAAATCGTTCGGTGGACCGACGCGACGCGACGGTCCGAATGTTATTGTTCGGAACTTGTATTTATGCAAACTTATCTTGCAAATATCTTGTATTCTATGACAGCAGAGCCACCAACATGAAGCCTTAATCTCGATAGCGTTGGACTAATGGATATCCAAAATTTTCTTAGAATGACATTTCCAATTACTGCAGTTATCAATCGCCCTACTAGTTTTCGAGAAGAGAATTACAGTGTAAAGTAAGTGGCAATAAGATGTTAATACCACTACGTACATTATACATCATCATTTCATCATTCTCCTGCCATTCTCCCAGTCACCTGGGGTCAGCGCAACATGTTTCCTTCTTCCATACTCTTCTATCATATACCATTTCTTCGCTCACTCCCCTCTTGCCCATATCGTATTTCACGCAATCCATCCATTTCTTCTTAGGTCTACTTACCTCTTCCTCTATATCCTTCCACATTCATAGTTAACACTCTTTTACCAACCTCATTTTCATTTCGTCTCATCACATGTCCTTACCATCCCAAACGCGCACTTCTCCGCTTCTCTGTCATAGGTGCCACTTTCAGACTTCCCCTAACATATTCATTCCGTATTCTATAAATTCTCGTTACTCCACACATCCATCGCAACATTCGCATCTCTGCTGTATGCAATCGTCACGGGTATACGTACGTACATTATACATATTTTGATAAATAGCAGAGTAGTCACTTGTCAATCCTCAGTAGATAAAGACTACCCGCGAAAAGGTAGAGAAATGAAAAAGTCGTTAATGATCCCGTAAAAGACCTAGAATCTATTATTTAGGTTTTACTTAATCTCTGTGTTTCAGCCAGACGAAATGTCGTTATACCCGTCCATAGTACCATCACTATGCTTATTTTTACCCCGAAACAGCATTTGAAGGGTGAACTAGAACAATTATTATTGATAATAAACTTATTCGGAAAACAATAATAAAAATATAAACATACAATTTGAACCCATTAACTTATTGGATGACCTCGTTGTCCTTCATCTATCAACGAATAAAAAAGGCAGCCAAAAGTCAATTTATTAACTAGAGTGCTGAAGCTACTTTTAACTGTGGCGTATTAAATTGGAAGTACAAAATTTAATGCGGGCACGATAACAGTGTGCACTATATTTTAAAACGAAACATTAAGCACTGGAAAATAAGTATTTTAGAAGAACTGCTTTTTTTATTTATTTTTTATTATTGCTTATACGGATTAGACGAGCTCACAGCCCTCCTGGTGTTAAGTGGTTACTGGAGTCCATAGACATCTACAACGTAAATGCGCCACCCACCTTGAGATATAAGTTCTAAAGTCTCAAGTATATTTACAACGGCTGCCCCACCCTTCAAACCGAAACGCGTTACTGCTTCACGGCAGAAATAGGCAGGGTGGTGGTACCTACCCGCGCGGACTCACAAGTAAAAATTATTCAATGGTTTCAAAACCTCTTTTAAATGAGTTTCAGATATCTATTTGTAAGATTTAAGTTTTCTTCTCGTGGTTTACCTGATTTTCATTGTAAGTAGTGTTTATTTTGACATTTATTTTTAATTGTTCCTATCATTTACAATAATGACACAAATCATAAACGTCATAATACAAAAACACAAACAAACATTCAGAAAATTTATTATGAAAAATCCTCAAAATTAACTATCTAAAAATGTATTAATTCTGAATGGAGTTAGGTCCCGAACTTTCTACTGCGTCTTTATTAAAGTTGATCTCATTCGTAACTTGGAGTTGGCTTTATCTGTGGTTCGCGCGTGATGGTAACAAAAGCCCAGAGTGGTGCTCGAGGGCAGTGACCCTCCTGCACGGAAGCGTTGCTACAGTCGTCGGTTTATATCAATGCGGAGCAGAAGCTATAACGCCATGTCGACTTACCAGTTAGTTTTTCATTGATCCGATGCAGTTCAAAGTGTAAACTACAAATTAATTATGACCAATGAAAATTTACCTTATCAATTTATCGGCTCTCTACCTAAGTCAAATCTTGTGCCTGCATGACACTAAAAACTTAGTTCGTGATAGGAAAATCCCTTAAAAGACAAATTTCCATTACGAAGTAGAAATATCGTTTGAATATGCAATGGAATGGCAAACTAAATATTTTAAACTTTCCAGTGAAGACAACGCCGTGGCATTACGCTCTAATGCTATGGTCCTGGGGTTACTTCGCATTCGACCTTCTGTGGTGCTTCGTGTACTGGGGCGATCACTATCTGATGCTCGTTCATCACACTAGCGCTCTGGTTGCTGTTACTGTATACACACAAAAAGACTATACAGGTTGCACGTTTGCTTGCACGCTGGCGTTTTTAGAAGTCACCAATCCCCTACTGCAACTACGATGGTTCGTTACAATCTCATAAAATGATTTTAAAATCGATGCCTCCAATGAACACTACGCTTACTCCAAATTCGTAGATTTACAGGAGGAGCGTTTAAACAAAAAAAGTTGATAAAATCTTTATTATTGCAGATATATTTATGGTTTTTTTGTGTAGCTAGCAGATTTACTCTTGCTTCGAACCCCATCAATAATGACTAAGTGTAATACTTTTAAAATAGTGAAGCGATTTGCGTGAAAAACGAAAATTTAAAAATTAGTGTTCAGTGGAGGCATCGAAATATAGTCGCGGATTCTCTGGCTTCGTGGTCTGTCAGATGTCTATTCGCATTGAGTTTAAGCCGCCTCCAATAGATATATCGGTATACATGTCTGTCATTGTTGACGTTGGCTAAACTTAAGAATTGACGACTCACCTGGTTTTAGGTGAAGAATGGAGCTCAAAGACACCGCAAAATAGAAAATTTAATCAAACCTATGATGTTCTGCACTTTGTTATTAAAATATCAACGATAACTTTAAAAATAAAGATCAACAAAGCGGACTAACCACATAATATCATATTCATCGCTCTCATTAAAAAATTAAGTCGTCACTATTTAAAATGTCTTCTGTGCTTTAATAACGAGACGAGAATTTTTAAAGGGCTCATTTTTTGCGAGGTATCAGTACCTTTTCACAGTAGACATGATTACCAGATCGTTATAATTCAACATGTGAATACCACCTGAGACCTTAGAACTTATATCTCAAGGTGGGTAGAGCATTTACGTCGTAGATGTCTATGGGCTTCAGCAACCACTTACACCAGGTGGGCCGTGAGCTCGTCCTAAGCTCGATCTAAGCATTAAAAAAAACCCTGTTTTAATTAAAACACGAGATCGTCTTTCAAAACAAAGCACAGGGCTGCTTTGCTCCTAAAATATTCTGGAATATTCCATCAATCCAGGCCTAACTATAAAAATACTTTGTTATCAGTACTTAGGTACGCTCCTTAAGAGGAATGGTCTTACTGGTGGTAGGACCTCTTGTGAGTCTGCACGGGTAGGTACCACCACCCCGCCTATTTCTACCGTGAAGCAGTAATGCGTTTCGGTTCGAAGGGTGGGGCAGTCGTTGTAACTATACCGAGACCTTAGAACTTATATCTCAAGGTGGGTGGCGTATTTACGTCGTAGATGTCTATGGGCTCCAGTAACCACTTAACACCAGGTGGGCTGTGAGCTCGTCCAACCAACTAAGCAGTAAAAAAAATCGATGAGTAAAAGCTATTTTGTTTAACCGACATTAAAATTTATCTTTGTAATTAAATATAAGTTTCATTTGGTATAACATCAACAATTCGATGTTTTTAATTGAAATTCAATTAAGTTTACTCCATTCAATTAACTGAAGAAGTATTTTTGTTGTTATTTTTCTAAATTTTAATCTGTAATTGGCTCTCCTGTAAAGTTCCAAAAATGTCGCTTAAACAAAAAAACCTTTAATCCCTTGATATAATTTAAAAGTATAAACACTTTGGCCGTGTTGGCATTGTTGATGTCCACAGGCGACAGTGACCACATAGACTCGTCTGCATACAACGGCAATAAAAAAACAATAATTTTCTTATTTCTTCAAAGGTTTTTAAAAAGCAATGGTTATACCAAAACCGTTCTTTACACTATGGTGGAGGTGACATATCTTGTGACGTTCCTGTTTGTGAGAGGTATTCTTGGAACGTACATAATGATGAGAATCCTAAAATCGGATATATTCGACGTTGACGAGAAACTGATATCTCTAGTTTTCTACATTGTTTCGGTGGCTTTTATTTATGACATTGTCGGCTACGTTTTATACAGATACAAACCAAAAATCGTAAGTAAGTTATTCAAGATTATTGTATATCGCTAGCTAGCCAAAGTATTTCTATAGTTTCAGAATGAAATGTGAAAGATTTATTAAAAACTTTATTTTCATGCTCATGCAATAGAACTTCATTTAAAGACTTCTTTTATTGAATTACCATAGTTGCTTCCAGCAAAATTTTTTTGCAGTTTTTCAGCTATTGAATTCAAATATTATGCAAAATTTATCAATTTATTTTAATCATCTCTTTTCTTTGTTTAGGATCCTATTACAACAACATAATTTTAGTTGCATATACAGATTTTTTCCAATGAAATATACTTGTTTGTATTACATTGTTTTGATTTTTTCAGGAAGGTTTCAAACATTTCTTAGAACATGCAGAGTTAATTTTGAATGAACATCTATGATTCTCATATTTGAACTAAATATGTTATTTAAACTTTTATTTTTCTAATAAAACTATATTTAAAAGGTCTTTTCTAATTATGTCAATGTGTGCAAGGAATAACATAGTAACTCAGTTTTAGCGAAGTATGAGTTACAATGTTATTCCTAGCACCTGTCGATCTTTATAATTTTCTTATTCCGTATATATAATTGCATTTGTGCTGTATCAATGGCACAATAAGGTATTTTCGAGTTAAGAACACATTAATTTATGCACTTCAATATGCAATTATTACCTAAACAATTTAGTTATACAATAAAATACTCTATAGAATTTAGTTCTAAAGACAGTTGTGAATTTCTTATTTACATTACAAATAATATTGCATAATTTTTCAGTAAATGAAAGCATCCTATAATTAAGTTATAGGGACTATTAACCTTTCCTGTTACATATGAAGTTTTATACAGGATGTAAACTTTCACAAAAAAATAAGATGAGACATAGTAAAATTAGTTCTATTATGATGACGCTAAATGCATCATATTTGTGGTTCAAAAATATGAACAATCTCAAAACAGGCACATTTCTGCTTATCTAAATTTTTATTTAGACAGTGATTTATTCTTGCTTTGTTTCCCAGCTTGGTCTCTTTACGCCCTGTATGTGTATATTTATTTTTAAAGGAATGCACTCAATCTCTCCTATGATTTCCATTTCTTTTAGACTTCCTGTCTCTCCAATTATTACTGTGCTTGCTCCTATTATAATGTTCAGATTCCCTAGGTCTAAAGTTATCTCGAGAGTAATATTCCTGGGTTGGGTAAGGATGATGTCTATGAGACCAATTGCCTTGAAGACTGGCTATTGACAAGTCATTGAAATTATTAGGACTATGTACAAAATTGACCTCTTCCTCCATCAAATTATTTGTCATGTGCGCAAACTGCTGTGCGATATTAGGTGGTGGTTCAACCAAATATGTCTCAGGAGGGTGATTTTGAAATTCTGGCCCATAACATCTTAAAGGAGGCGGTAATATTGCCATGCGACTCCGGCATTGTAGAGAAATAGTTCTGTTAAACAAAGTTGTCCCGCGGAAGAGTAATATCGCATATGGCACCGATACTTCGTGACAGAAGGTTATAAAAGCGAAATTGCGTTGACGGCCATCGCGGTCCTTAGCTATCCTCACTTTCTCCAATGGACCAGCCTGCAAGCGAAATAATTAACTTTTAGATTTGTAGTACGTAAATATTAATGCCAATACATTAGATTAAAGGCATACCTGCAAGAACAATTCGTAAAGCAATTCTTCTGTTATTTGTTCTGGAAGATTACCGCACCACAAGGTTCTGTTGTTTTTGTCAATCATTTTCGTAAGATTCTTTATAAAGTTTCGCTGTAACTTTAAGTAAGAACAAAGTTAACCATATGCATTAAAATGTAGATAGGTATAGTCTACTAACTGCTAAATTTTATTTTGGTAAAGTAGGTACATATGACTTGAATCCCTATTTAAAGTTTATAAACCACTAACACAATTACACAATAATAGACAAAACTAAACACAGTCTGGCATAATTATTAATTTGTAATTTATTTAGGTTTCATACTTCAGTGAATTTATTAATTAGACCATAAAATGACTCCTCTGACAGTTTTGACTTTGTCGATAGGTTTGTGTGCTTTGTCTATCGGTAAAGCAAAGGAAAAGAAACTCATACAACCATGGCAAAGACCGAAGTCATCTGAAGTCATGTTGGTTGTGTGAAAATAAAAGTAAATGAAATTGATGTTGAAATAAAAAATATTCTCTCAGTAAAATTAGAAGAATTTACTAAGAGTTTATTGATTTTTTAGATGAACGGGTTCATGATACATCGGGATGTATGCTACGTGCACCGAAATTGTATCATTTTCCCACACCTGTGCACTTTCACAAATACTAAATAATTACCATTATCATTATCTATTACCATTATTCATTGTTCAATGGTCGCCATTATTGTTCGAACTAAAATCAATACTAAATTGAATAATTAAAAGAATTTATACGATACAACTCTTCAAGTTCCGATGTTTCTGAGTGAGTTAAACTTCACTAAAACTCAATCTAAAGTTAAAGAACATAAGAGTTTAGTTATTTATTTTGATGGTATAATAATTTTGCGTAACAATCAATATGAAGTATTTAACAGTGTGTTTTGTGGAGGTGCGGCAACCGTGGTTGTGTGGCCGTGAGTTCCGGATTCTGATTTCGGAACTCTTGGAGATTCGGGTATTGGACCCGGGGCACTCGGTCGGGCTAGCGTTAACCGCGCCTGCCGACAACTCGCTGTCTCAATATAGGACATTCTTATATAATATTTAAATTGTTCATCTTGTGTTTAATTATCCATGCTCCTATTTTTCAACATTGAACCGCAACCATTAAGAGTTGAATTGGGCGATTATTGCTGTCGTGTATTCAAATTGTTGTTGTAATTCTTACATCTTAATTTTCGATTTCCAGATTTCCTATTACTTAAACTATTTGTAGGTGTTAAGAATAAAACATGGATACAATGTTACTAATTTTTTACTATCTTGGTCTGGTTATAATCATAGTATTACTAAGTAGCAAGTCACATGGCATCAGTTTCATTCATATAAATTATCATGGTAATGTTCTTAATATTTATTATTTTATATATTCAGTATACTGAATATACAAAATAAGACCATGATTAAACTTAGTCAATTTCTTTCAAAAAAAAATCTTTTTATCTGTGCAGCTTTCTGTAGTTAGTCTGTGTCATAGATTATACAAATAATAGTCTGGAATCTGGAACTCTGGACTTTTTGGCGGGAACGCGAGGAGTGAAGTTTTATGATTTGTTTTATTTGTCTATTTAGTGTTTCTTCGAGTTTAAATGTGTAATAATGGTGGTTTATTAACTGTTTAATATCTGTGAAAGTGCACAAATGTCTGAAAATGAAACAAAGCCGCTGGACGTAACTTCTCGGGATCCTCCAAAAAGTCCACTGAAAAAAATATTAGTAAATGATCACCATTTTACTGAGATTATATTTCATCCCATATCATCTCAATTCATTTCATTTAATTTCATCCCAGTTGATTAATGTTTCAAGTTAATCATCTGCATTACATTTCACTCCATAATATCATTTTTCATAAAAATATGAATATAAATTAAACTAAGACATCACTTAAAGGCCTCAGTTACCAGGTCATAAAATCCCTTAAAACCTAATAGTCTGTGTCAAAGTATCAAATTCGTTTTGTGTGGGACTTTTTGGCGGGAACGCGAGGAGTGAAGTTGTGTGATTTGTTTTATTTTGTCTATTTAGTGTTTCTTCAGGTTTAAATGTGTAATAATGGTGGTTTATTAACTGTTTAATATCTGTGAAAGTGCACAAACGTGGGAAAATGAAACAAAGCTGCTGGACGTAACTTCTCGGGTTCCTCCAAAAAGTCCACTGAAAAAATCTTAGCTAGTAAATGACCACCATTTTACTGAGATTATATTTCATCCCTTAACATCTCATTTCATTTAATTTAATCCCAGTTGATTAATGTTTCAAATTAATCATCTTCATTTCATTTCACTCCATAATATCTTTGGGGGTAGGTGTCAAAAGTGAAACAAGTGCTTTAAGTTTGAAAATTAAAATTAATTCATTTTATTTACATTATAAAGATTTTGTGATCCTTTTGTGTGTCATTAAGTATATATATGCATTTTGGCAATATTTACATGATTTAAGCCAATAAAAATACCACCTGCCAGCACCCCTTGAAACAGAAACATAACTATGTCGCAATTATCNGCCATGAGCGGGCCCTACGTTCTCTCAATAGCCTATTAATTCGTTGTCCCACACATAGTTCTAGTTATGTTCGTAACTCTTTCGTCGTGCAATCTGTTCTGCTATGGAATGCGCTTCCTCTCGAGATCAGGACTATTACTAACCGCTGCACGTTCAAGTTAAGGGTTCGGCGAATGCTGTTGGAAAAGTTAGCGGAATCCTCATGAACTTGATGAAATTATTTGTTAAGGAAATTTATTAATATATTCCTTTTAATACTGTATAAACTATTATATGTATGTATGTGTGTATATATGTATGTATGTATGTATGTGTATGTATATGTATATGTATATGTGATTTTGTATATATGTAGATATACTTTTTTTGTATGTATTCGTTACCTAATATAAATTTCATTGCACCTACCACTATTTACTCTGCACTACCTTTGGTTGACTGGTAGAGAATGCCTTAGGCATTAAGTCCGCCAATGTAAATTTTACATGAAGTGTAATAAATAAATAAAAATAAATAAATATCATTTTTCATAAAAATATGAATATAAATTAAACTAAGACATCACTTAAAGGCCTCAGTTACCAGGTCATAAAATCCCTTAAAACCTAATAGTCTGTGTCAAAGTATCAAATTCGTTTTGTGTGGGACTTTTTGGCGGGAACGCGAGGAGTGAAGTTGTGTGATTTGTTTTATTTTGTCATTTTTCATAAAATTAAGAATATAAAGTAAAATAAGACATGACTTAAAGGTCTTAGTTACCAGGTCATAAAATCTCTTAAAAAAAAAAATCGTTTTGTGTCATAAATTTTAGGTGATTAGGTGTTTTGTCTATGATTTTGCGTTAGAAACGACGTTACTTGACGTTAGTCAACGCAACTCGCAAGTTTTGGTCTACAAAGAAATAAATAGAGCTATTAGCGTTAACTTCTACAACGAAACCCGAACGTCATTCATGATGCGCGAATGTGTATGTATTTTAACAAGCGACATATAGTGGTTCCAAAATTATCTAATATTAGTGCGTAAATCTTTTGGAATTCTTTAAGGTTAAGGTTGGCGCTTCATCATGGAAGAATCCTCAAAGTTTCAACAGATGCAAGATGAGATGTCCAGGTATGTAATTATCGTGTTTGTTTAGTTTACGTTTTTAATTAGTCATACAATTCAAGTTGTTCAAAAGCTGGAAAATAGCTAAAATATTATTCCTCCTATAAATACCATTATTTGATACCTCGCTCATTTCATAAGTGCTTATTATATTTTCACATGGTTCCGCCAATGCTTTAAATATCTGTAAGATTTGGCTATTATTTGCACAAACCAGAACAACAATGGTCATTCATCTACAATCTTTTCTATTAAATAAAAAAAACTTAAAAGAGACATGCATAATGAAACTAAATAGCTTTAATTGTAAATATCTGCTAGCCAGCAATTGAATAAACTGAAATGTATTGATGATTTTGAACAGTAATGCCAGACTATATTCACTCTATGAGCATAAATGCATCTTAAAACTAGATTAATGACATAATGATATTATCGAAATGATAAAATTCATAACATTTTCACTCATCTGTGTTCTTGAGAGCTTACTTTCCATTTTATGGTTTTATTTGGACTACATAGTTGTGAGTGATAGTCAGCTTCATGCAAATCCTCTAATGATTGGTAACACAGTAATTAGTTAGTGTCAATAATTTGATACATTTTGTTGTAACCCATGTATCAGCCCACTGAATTTCTCTCTTGATCTTCTCAGAGGGTCTTGATTCGGATCTGGTAGTAGATTCATTTGGAGGCACTCTGGTAGCTGTTAGCATATCCCATCCCTCCTGGCTGAGCCTTATCTCGCTTCTCGCCTCTTGTTAAACTGGAAAGGTCTCTGGGCCACCAGTAATCCCTCATTCATTAAAAAAAATTCATTACGTAAAAATGAAGAAGTAAGCTTGGTTTCTGATATAGGTATAATGGTGTGATCCTTATTGATTAACCAAGAAAAAATTACCAATAGTGTTAGTATTTTTGTTTTACACATCACAATATTTCTTGTTCTAGTACACATACCAAATGTCAATGATGCTGCTTACAGGTAGTAAATTGGCATATCAGTGAAATGAATGGCTTTGTTGATCATGGTTTATCTTTATATTGTTATTATTGTAATCATAGAATACTCTGCTGGTATATAGGACCCTCACAAGTTGTTTCCACTTCACGCTGTCTTGTACTTTCTCTTTAACATCAGATCAACCCGGCAGTCCTCATATCGCTCTCTATGGTGCGTCGCCAAGTATGTACTGGGTGATCAGATCTTTCCCATATTATTAGTCTCAAACATTTTATTTTGAGTCACATAATAAGGTGAAACACATAATACACTCACATAATAAGGCAAAATGAAGCAAATAATTTAAAGTAATTTAATGATGAAAATTAATATTTTATTATTTTACAAGGTTTGAAGCTGAAATATCAGGAGGCACTGGACGTGCAGTGATCGGATCTGGCACATGGGATGCCGTGCAAGCCCGTCTAGAACGGGTGGCTCCAATGCAGGCCCCACCAGAACCCAGCCCTTCGATCATGGCACCATACGAGCCTACACTTGTGTACCCTGCAGTACCTCCACCACCACCACCACCATCCTTATTGGTGCCAGCCCAAGTATGTATCACATATATTTTAAAATTTAGTTCATGTGACTCGTTACTGGGAAGGAAAACAAACCTGTCAATAGATAATAAATTACTCATGTACAAGGCGGCCATTAAACTCATTTGAACTTATGGTTTGGGGGTTCAACTATGGGGGAGCTCCAGCCATTCCAACATTGATATCATGCAACGCTCACAAAACGTCATATTAAAAACAATTACCAAAGCTCCCTGACCCATAACCAATGCTGAAGTTCATCAGTTTGCAGAAATTTCTACCATAAAAGAAGAAATAGCTAATACTTGCACTAGATACAAGATGTCAAAACTTCAAAGTAAGCCAGCCTCCAAGCTTCTTTCGAAATTGAATTCTTGAATTGAATGAAATGAATGAAAAAGCTCAAAAGAAATGTTTTTTTGTTAATCGTACAGGTGCAAAGACTTCGAAGTTCAACTGCAGCTATGGATGGATTTGGTAGTCCAATACCGTTCCTTCGGCCTGGACTACCAGGCCCACAATTAATTCCTCCACCTCCACCCAAACCTCAACCTGTGGTTCTGTCTGCTGCTCCTAAACTTTACAAGCAACCAAAAGAGGATGATGACAAAAAAGAGAAGTCTGCAAGTAGAAAACGGGTAAGATTCTTATCTTCCTAGGTTATCGAAAGCCGATGTGGGTCGGTAGGTACAACCAACCTGTCTATTTTTGCCACAAAGCAATCATACATTGTTCTTTCAAGAATGTGACATGTGTGTGATGGCTTACACACTACGAATGAAAATTGACAGAAATCTCTTATCATGGTTGTAGGCTAACTAGTATATGGCACATCTGATGGTAGTAACCAACAGGCCTCACTAGTTAATTAAGTTTAGTATTTGTATTTTAAGTAAATTTATATTTACACATAATAATTAGAGTGCTCTGAGGAATGGTTTGAATGATACCATCATCTCGTTTTTACCATCGCACCGCCCGCCACCGGAGCAGAGTTCATCCATACTACCTGGAGCCACTGCTTTCATTGACAGTGCGTTTCCAGCAAATGGTTGATGTCGAAGCAAATGTTTTTTTATTAATTTTTATTTTTATTTTTTAAGTGTTTGCATTAAACACTCATTTTCAGAAAAGAGATAGGTCAAGTGAGCCACCCGCGCCTGCTCCTGCGCCCCCGGCCCCTCTCGTCCCGCCCCCCGCACCTGTCATCACTGTTGATGTTACCGTTAAACCCAAGAAGGAGAAGAAAAACAGGAAGGTAAGCTACAAGCCATATTAGTCGCCTGACCAAAAACTGTTTTTCCTAAGCTACCTTTTGTATATTTTGACACATTTGGCACATATGTGTATGTTTCTTTTATTTTTATTTATATATTTAATTATATGCTAAATTTCCACATACATACAGGGACGTTTTTTACTATTCACTGTTTGTTAAATGTTTTAAATTACTGAATTGTTTTCAATATAAAAACAATAACAACAAAGTCTGTTTCTGTTTTTAAATACAAGGTCAAACAATTTTATCTCTCATCAACCGAATGATCATGGTTCTATACTCTTTGTATATACGAGTGTTACTGTGTTACTTATAATATTTGCTATGTGTATGTGCTATAATTCTCATGTTGTATTTGTTATTTTAGTTATGTGTTATTTGTTCTACACACACTTATCACTTTTTATTATTTTTCTCATTATCCTCTCGCAGGTCTGCTGGAAGAGATTTCTCAAAGAAATAAGCAGTGCCTTTGTACATAATTTTCCTATTACTCTGTACTGTGTCTTGTTTTCTGTGTGTACATAAATAAATAAATAAATAAAAAATAAAATAAATAAATCTCCCATAAGTCAGTAATTAGTATTTAAATATAAGTCATTTAAATTATCTGCTATGAAAAATTTTAACTTGGTTTCCGTATCAACGTTAAATACGAGATTTAATGACAGAACTAAATTTATAGGTCGTGAGGACTGCAGGTGGTCAAGTGTGGGAGGATGTGACATTGCTAGATTGGCCTGATGATGATTTCAGAATGTTCTGTGGGGACCTCGGAAATGACGTTACCGATGAATTGCTTGTAAGTATAGTATATACTGTACTTCTTATAGTACATGTCAGTGTATGTAGATCAATGAGATACTTGAGGGATGCACTAGCCGTTATTGTAATTGATGTAATGTTGTGAAATAGATTGTGATTTTTTGGCTATGGGCTCCACAATTCCTTACCATCCTCTATTGTATCTAAAAAAAACATGGTTGTTCTGCTTAGGGATATTTTGAAGAATTGTGTTCTAAATATACATATTTGTTTGGAGCACTTGTGTATATATATAGTTTAATTAACTGTTATCATTACTATTTGGGAAGCACAAAAAAGTCATTCGTTAGTGATATACAAAAATATTCATAGCAATTTTTTTTATGACATTGTGTATTTTTAGAGCATTACAGATAATTCAAAAATAGGGGTATTAATATGTATTCTTTCAAAATTTCAATTTACAGATCAGAACATTCAGCAAATACAGTTCATTCCAAAGGGCCAAAGTGATAAGAGACAAGCGAACAAATAAAAGCAAAGGGTTCGGTTTTGTTAGTTTCAAAGATCCGGGAGACTTCATTAAAGCCATGAAAGAAATGGATGGTAATATTTGAAATCCTTTTTTTTATGAGTTCCTTTTTTTATATTCGTTTTATTTTAAAATACCACCTACCTCTAAAGTGCCATAGCAATTTTCCGGTTTTATGATAATCAAATAAGGACAGAAGAAAACATTGCCATCTGCTTTTTGACTGTTATATAATTAAAGAAATGGCAAAAGCCTGAATTGTATGACATGTTAAGATATCCTTACATATTTACAAGTTGTTATTATATCATCTGCTTGTTGTAACAAGTTTTTAATTTTAATATTCCCTATATCTCTGATGTTGGAGAGAGTCCTCGGCTGTAAGCAGCAGCTTGTCTGTCCCTTTGTCCTGATGTCCTTGAGCAACAGTGATTAGGTACTTACCATCAGTTGGACCCTATGTTCGACTGCCCACAAAGACAGTCAAAAGAATGTTATCATTAACATTTTAGGGTTGTCTTAAGAATGGATAACTTTCTGTTTTTGTTTAAGTTTACCGCATATTTTCTCAGGTCGGTACGTCGGCAGTCGTCCCATAAAACTACGCAAGAGCACCTGGAAGAATCGAGCCTTGGACATTGTGAGGAAAAAGGAGAAAGAGAAGGCCGCGTTACTCTCTTTACTGATGACTGGAAATAAAGGCTGATCGAGTTGGATGAGTGGCACAACCTCCCGCTTGCGTCGTGTTAATACGTTTCTCATTTAGGTCGTGTGTTCTTAAAGTGCTGTTATATTGTCAGATATAATGTAAAGTTCTGGAGGAATTCATTTTACAATAAAATACTATAGTTCAATAATTTAAATGAGTTTTTAATTACACCTATTGAAACGGTCGGTAGTAGCAAATACTTCATTATAATTTTTTAGAATTATAAGACTAACTGGCTACGCCTGAATGTTTTCTTTTGTTTTGGTTTACCTATAAAATGTGTTGGATTTTTGAGAAAAGCATAATTGTAATAATATTAAATGTCAAAATAGTTGGGGTATCAAAATAGAGAGAAAAAATTGAGCCGCGAACCTATGCATCTGGACAGTGTTGTAAATAATGTTAAGGAAGTCGAATTGTTTTATTGGGTTATATTAACAGTTTTATTGGGTTTTTAATGGACGTAACTGGACGTCACTCTTCGAGTTATTCCAATAAGTCCACTGAAAAAGTCTCAGTAAAAACCATAATTTAATTGCGACTATTCACTTCCCATTTCGTTTTATTTATTTGCATCCCAATCGATTTAAATCCTAAATCAACTTCCTTTCATTTGGCTTCATATAATTTTTCATTTATACAGAATGTGCTTATATCCCAATATTAGAATGTTTTTTAAAATCGACACTGGCAACAGTGGCATCGCTAGAAACCAATTGCCATATTTAAAAAAAGAAGAATAAGACAATCCTCACTTGATGTACTTTTTATTCAATTAGAAGTGTATAAATATATTTCATGAGGTTTATTAAAATTACATACTACCTACGGTTAAATAAAAATCACTATAAAACATATTTTATTGATCATAATGATACATTTGTAATTCTTTGGTTCCTAATATATTTTTTTCTTACTTGCATTTTTATAATAATTCATAGAATAAAACTTTTTCAAAAACAAATTTTAGATACATACATATCCATGGTATTTGGGTGATGAACCTTAATAAACTTATCTAATGGTGGGCTGGAAAGCTGGCTGCATAACTTTGAAAAAAATAAATACACAATTTTCAAACGATATTTAGAAAAATGTATTGGAGTAAAGCTGAAGGGCCGTTCTTGAAGGAGATCACATTGAAATTTTGATCCGATTCAAAAAAACATCTTTATTAATTAGTGTTAATTGGTACATACTAGCCCATAAAAAAGGTGATGACGCCACTAACATTGAGCCGAAATACCAATCGTATTATAATATCTGATGTACCTTCAAATCAAAAGACATTACAGTAGATCCTTAATATGCTATAGCCATATAGGTATGGGATGGATCAAATAAATTAGGTTAGTTAATTAGTTACATACTGGTTAATTTCTGCCGTGAAGCAGTAATGCATTTCGGTTGGAAGGGTGGGGCAGCTGTTGTACGGTAAAAACAGACTTTCATGTTGCAAGGTGGGTGGCGGAGTTTACGTTACAGATGTCTATGGGCTCCGGTAGCCACTTAACACCAGTGTGCTTAGTGCAAGTTTTTTAACGTTCTCGACAGCATAAGAGCTAAGCCAATTTTGTATGCAGTTGGAACAGCGCCCCTAGCGGCAAACGTAGGCAAACGATCCCATTCCATACAAATATGAGTTAACTTTTACGCTATCGAGAACGTTAATAAACTCGCACTAAGCACACTGATGGTCCCTGAGTTCGTCCACCTATTGAAGCAATAAAAAAATTAACAGGCTTCTTTAGAATTAAAATTAAATCGTCAGAATCGGCGTATCATTCTAAAGTATCGTGGACGCCTAGTTTGACTCTGCTCGCTCTAAGCCTGACGATGGGGCGTGGTCGCTTCCGTACCGGCGCCGGCGGGCTAGTGGCCGCGGCTGCGTACTGCTCGTCTAGGCAACAGCGTGTGTCACCTTCCAACAGTCCCGACGTGTGAGGGCAGAACGGTATAGTGTCGTCTTCTAAACAGTATGCGCCTGATGCACTGTAAAAAAAATGGGTTCATTGAAAATTGATGTATCCTAGGTCCTGGTGTTAGAAGCTCTACAATTAAAGACAGTTTCTCGTTCGCGTGTAGCTGGAATAGCCCTTTAGGTAACCAGCGAGTAGTTAGGGAAATAAAAGACAGTCTCAGTGTGGTTAGTGCGAGTTTTTTAGCGCTCTCGATAGCGTAAAAGTTAACTTGGAACGTTTGCCTACGTTTGCCGCTTTTCTAACTGCAAATTACGTTAACTTTTACGTTATCGAGAACGTTAAAAAGCTCGCACTGACCACAAAGAATACTCACGTCATGGGCGCAGGCTGCCCGACCGGCACGGGCAGAGCTTGCGCACGTCCTGGCGGGACGCGGACTGAACAACGCCGGCCGCATGGAACTGCGCTACGAGAACGGAACAGACTTTCCGCCTGATAGCAGACTGACCAGATGTGGCTGCATAACGCTTCGTCTGTCGATCAAATACATCCAGTTTTTGAAGTTAAAAAGAGTTGCTTGTTTAATTCAAGTTCAAATAGGCGAAGTGGTTACTGGAAGTGTAATTACTGGTGGTAGGACCACTTGTGAGTCCGCGCGGGCAGGCACCATCACCCTGTCTATTTCTTCCGTGAAGCAGTAATGCGTTTCGGTATGAAGGGCAGGGCAGCTGTTGTAACTCTACTGAGACCTTAGAACTCATGTCTCATAGTGGGTGGCGGCATTTACGTTGTAGACGTCTATGGGCTCCGGTTACCACTTAACTCTGAATCTACCTACTAGATGTTCCGGCGCCTTAGTAAGAAGATCGAAGAGGGAAACAGATTTAATTACTTCAGTGCGCCGCGTAGGCCACCGGAGACCTAGATTAAAATTAAATTGAAACTAACTTGGCGTATCCTCGCAGTATGGTTGACTGCGTCCCCCGTTAAGACAGAAGTCAGCGTGCCCAAGCCTGGCGCCTTCACCATAGCGACCTGCGTTAGTATGGAGCACGTGGACGGCGCGCGCATCCCCGGGGTCCAACCGTAGGGCAGGGGCGGACCGAATTAAAGGTCGGGCTGGATCCAAACCTATCGATATCAAAATGAAAAAAAAAATACAATAATAAAATTCTATTTTTTTGTTACGACACAGTACAGTCGTTTCGAGTGGAAGGCTCTTATTACTCAATTTAACCACATTAATTATCATCAGTTTTTTCCCTACCTAAGCTGGGTAGCCTTTAGAGGCTATGCCAGCGTAGCCGATCGAGTAGGTGAGCTCACGGGGCTTAGCCCGAGGATGTCGCTAACACTAGCCCTAGTAAGAGCAGTGCTTCACAGAATCTACCACCGAATCGGAAACGCGACCCACTCAGAAGTTCTGGCGAGAAACTCAGTGGGCAGTGTCTATGGGTTAATTTACTCGTCGAGCGTCGTGCTTGATGTACTTACTTAAAAGCACCGTTAATGGATCGGGAGGATCCGAAACGACGTGCTTAGGGCGACGTCGACTGTTTACCATTGCCTCATCAGTATTTCATAATTATGCTTATGCTAACTTTGAACTTAATCGTTTTGAAGGAAGATTTCGAAACTCACCTATAATTCTGTTTAGCCGGAACGTAAGGAAGTTAGCAATGATGCCACACATATGTGCACCCAACGAGTGTCCCACGCACGTTAATCGGTCTGGCCTCAAGCCGGCGCGTCTCAGAGTGCCCAGTGCCTCGGCAGCGCATCGAGCAACAGGTCTCAGATTGTGGACCGCTGCGACGTAGCACGGGGGCTGACAAAGCGAGCCCCAGTCTAACATAAGCACGTTGTAGCCTCCGCGACGAATATATGCTGTTGACAAAATGTAATGAGATTGAAACTATTTATGCTGTTTAATGAATTGCGCGTTTAAGAATACCATTTGCCAAGATAAGATGCCGTAAATTAATAAAACATATAAATAAAATAAAAATCTAGTCAAAGCCTTGTAATCTAGCACACCATCTGCATATTGATTGTTTCTTTATAAAAAGCTAAGCTAAAGTACAACTGATAAAGGAAAATAGAACTCAAATAATTATAACTATTCGGAAATTAGGCAGTTATAAGTACATATTTATATATTATTTATTATTAGTTGGGCGTCCCCTTGCCCGTTGGACCGGTGACTTGCGGCGATATGCTGAGGATCGTTCATTGTGGCGGACTATAGGAGAGGCCTACGTCCAGCAGTGGAGGGATACAGGCTGATGATGAAGTATTTATTTAATAATGTTATTGCGTAGACGATTGAACGACCCTAGTTGTGGTTACAGGAACCCATAGACATCACAGCGTGATTGCCGCTACTGGCGTCATCCACCTTGAGACATGGGATCAAAGTGGCCACGATACGGTCATTTGTACCGCAATATCTTCGAATGGAATATGAATACTGACTGACATATTGCTTGATACGAGTACACCGGTCGCTCTATCTTTTGGGCCACGACGATTGTTAAAATCATTTGAGAAATATCGGGCTGATTTGCCATTTAAGTACGGTCCTAGTTCTCGGCATAAGATTTTTAGGGAACGAGAAATTGATGTTGTTTCCATGAGAATAGGATGCAAATTGTAAAAAGATTCCAAAAGGTACAGTCACAGGAAAATTATCCTGTACTCTACCTAATCAGCAAACAGGTAAATATTGAAACTTTAAAAAGTGTTCAATTTATAACCTAGAATAAGTTTTATTTTAATGAATAATCGGAATCGAATTTTGTAAACCAAGCCATATACATATAACATGTAGGTATACTGTTTAATTTCCCAACAAGAAACAGCGACACTTTCGTAATACGCTTATACGATTTTTGCAATGATAGGTAAATGTGTAATCGAGTTCATTGACTTGTTGCGTCGCATCACGCCGGGGAAAGCCGTGTCAGACTAGACTTACTTGATTTTAGGCACATAATGTCAGAAAATAGGCAATTTCTTTACAAATACACAAGTTTAATTTCGGACTAATTTGTCACTTAAGCTAAGATAAAATTGTTGATAGTTTTTCAATTTGAATTACTCATTACAAATTTTGGATTATGAAAATGTTTAAAACTGATTTAGGGGTATAATCTATATACCTATCTATGTATATAAAAATGGATTTCTGTTCGTTAGTCTCGCTAAAACTTGAGAACGGCTGGACCGAATTGGCTAATTTAGGTCTTGAATTATTTGTGGAAGTCCAGAGAACGTTTAAAAGGTAGATAAATATGAAAATGATCGGAATTAAATAAAAATAACAATTTTGTTTTTCCTTTGATGTGTCCCCCATCGGACGGATTCCTTTTGTTTGTTTTAAGTTAATTTTATACAAAAACTTAGGTCTTTTATTTATCGATTGAGGCACTGCGAAGTCTGCCGAGTCAGCTAGTTATTTTTTTCACTGGGACGACAGATGACTTGTTAATTAGCCTTAGGTTAAGCAATAATCCAACCCAGAGACGTCACAATGACAGCTTGAAATGTAAGATTGGTCTCACAGTTGGATTGCCGGCATAGCTGTCCTAACAATCAAACTATTTGTCGAATCCACTAGTTTCCTACCTCTAATATTAAATATACAAAGCAGGGTTTAGGAGTTAGGGAATTTAATAAGAGATTATGTGGAAATACTTTCACTACAGACGAATGATAAGGCCGTAGTTCAAAAGCCGAAAAAAATACTATAAAAACCCTCTTGTCTGTGTCTGCTACAACAAAACGTGCACAGATTCGATAATTGGGGAATAATCTGAATGCGAACCATAACGTCTCAGGTTTCCGAGTGTCAATGAAAACGGGTGTCGATTCGCAGGCATCGCACGGACTAATGCAAAACATGAAATAACTTTCGCCTTTCTTTAGCCGTGTCGTTTCGTATACAGTGTGTGTGCAATGAAAATTTTAAACGAACCAAGGTTTGGTAACTATAAATTAGTAAGTTTTCACTTTGAAAACTTACAAAACACACCTACGATATCATAAAATTAGTATACCTACACTAAGCACTAACTGTTATTTTACCAGACCATTTACACGAGGCATTCCCAAAGTGATCTCAAAATCGACCATTATTAATTAACACAAGTCCTTATTTGAAACTTTCAAGATACTATTTAAATCGCGTTAAGTGTATCAATTTCTTATAAGAATAACTTATATTTTAGTAGTTTTTTAGTAGGATATACAACTGTTGTACTTTTGATTTTATTAACTGATTTTTATGTTTATTTATTTTGTTAAATTATCATGAGAAAGTGATGTAAAGCTTACTCACTTAACCAACCGCAAAGTTTTTAAATTGATAAGTATTTTGTATCGATAAGAAAAAAATAAAAAATATGATTTTTAGAGTAATTTGCCTATGAAGGTCTGAGGTATCATTTGGAAAAAGGGATCTCTTGCCCAAAATAGTTTGGGTATCCCAGAGCTACACTAATAAATAAATCTAGTATATTAAACTCACCATCCCGCAGTACAGCAATCGGCAATGTGTCATCACCACCAGCGTATCCGTGAATCAGGAGAATCGTCTCATGAGATGGTTCCCAACCGCTCTGCCGCAACCAGTCCTCGCTGAACAGATCAACCTGTGCATATATTGAGGTAATTTGAGTAACCAAGCTATTACAAAAGAGTTAATTAACGGTGCTTTTAGGTACCACAAGCACCAGTCACCGTCCTCGTCGAACCCGTCGCTTGCGACGAAGGGCTCGACGAGCGAATTAACCTAAGGACACAGCCCACTGAGTTTCTCGCCGGATCTTCTCAGTGGGTCGCGTTTCCGATCCGGTGGTAGATTCTGCGAAGCACTGCTCTTGTTAGGGCCAGTGTTAGCACCACTCCGGTTTGAACCCCATGAGCTCACTTACACGTTAGGGTGAAGCTGAAATAGCCTCTCAAAGCTATTAGCATAGGTAGGAAAAAAAATGTGTCTCTATACACCGCGGGAAATCGACCACAACAATTCTCGTTAAAATGAACATAAATTTAACTTAGTGTATTTTCTTTCATAACATTTCGCGGTCGCCTTGGTACTCGTAGGTACTTTCTGTTTTCACTCAATTTATTTTATGGTTGTAAAGCTAGTAACGATCGGATATTAAATGATAATTACGTTTTAAAGTTTATTAAATATTTATTCATATTATGAACATGATTCTAGTCTCGATTTCCCTGACGACTTACTTAAGTTGATCCTTTTTTATTTCTGAAAAAGAGAATTTCATGGAAATGAGTTTGGCAATAATTTTAATTTATAAAATTAATGAAACTCGCAAGAGAGCGTTGGTAGAATGAGTGTTTAAACATAACTAATGTTTAATAAGAAAAATTTTGTAATGGCATTTGTAATGGTTTTCTAGATTTTTTTCAGCATGGCGCTTTGCTCCTTTAGTGATACTTCATTTAAGAAACAACGTTTGGATTTATATGCCCGCGTATTTCATTCGTATAAAACAAAGAACAAACTAATAAATATTTACGCAATAGGTATATGTAAAGCCAAATCAAGGATCAACCAGTAAAGCGAGCCGAGTTTGACTAGCAGAACTTACAGAGAGAGAATTTTCTAATAAATTTTAATTTCTTAGTGCGTCATTTTTTCTAGTTCACGTTCGGTGATCTTAATCGGTAGTCTTAGACCAAAGACATTAAAAAGGAATCAAGAGCGAGTACATAAACAAAAGAATAAAAATGAAAATCTTAATATATAAATATCATTCAATAGAATAGTTGATGGTTGTTGTCTTTTAAAGATCTTCGAACATAAATAATTTCTGCTGTACATTTTCCAAACTGATAATATCGATAAATTGATAACGTAAATTAGGTACAACATCATTAATTAAAGAACAGCGACTAGAATAATCACATACTCGCAGAGTTTAGAGACTGTACTTTATTTATCATTTTTACTCAATGTATATATGTTACGGTAAAAGTAGATATTGCGGCAAATGTACATATTTTCCGGTAAATGTGTACATTTGCTTCCTCGTTTCGGTAATGTGCATTCAACTATTACATTTACAATTTCAAAGAAGAGAAATGTACATTGAATTCAGAATGACTATGTCGTTTTGGTTAATTAAAATTATTTTCGTTATTAAAGCCTTTTGTATTATGTTTATTTAAATAAATATTATTTTACTGCAACACCATTATTAATTTACTTTTATTCCAACTTTTCTTGAAACATAAAGGTAAGAGTATACATTTACCAAAACGTGAAGGCAAGAGTACACATTTCCCGGGAAATGTACATATACATTATATTCAGTTCACATATACCTAACTATTTGGCAATGTGCACATTTACCGGTAAAAGTGTACATTTCCCAAGAGTGTACATTTACCGTAACATATACATACTAACTATAATATAATAGGTAAGATATTTAAAATTTTACTTGAAAAAAAACGGTCAATTGTTTAAAGGTCACATAGGAAATGAATAGATGTATGTCATTTGACCTAAAAGCAAGTGGTTCGCGTTGCGATCGTGCTTGCCATGTTTATTATAAGCGAATGAGGACATCTTCCCTCGAGGACGATTAGCGGTATTTTGAACGCATTCCTGAGCTTCGCTTATGATCAAGGCCACTGAAGGTCCGCCGGTGGCCCAGAAATCGTGCATTTCGGTTTGAGTCAAAGAGCTCGTTCATACATCTATACAAAAAGAATTTCTTAAGAATCTTTATGAGTTTTTCATCAACAAAGCTTAACTGATAAATTAATTATTTATTCATGTCGATGGTAACATGTTAGGTAAGAGAGAATTAATCTGTTTATAAGAATGTATTATGCAACTATTATACATACTTTCCTAATACGGAAGTACTTTCGTGTGTTTTTCAATTACTCTATTCACGGAAAGGCATAATAAGACTTCAGATCTGCTCAGTGAAGATCCATTATCATGAAAAAAAGTCACCATTGACCCCTATTTACATTTTTTTTTCCCTACCTAAGCTGGTAGCCTAGAGCGGCTATTCCAGCGTAACCGTGGTTAGTAGGTGAGCTCACGGGGCTCAAACCTGACGACGATGCTAACACGAACCCTAGCAAGAGTCGTGCTTCGCAAAATCTACCACCGGATCGGAAACGCGACCCACTGAGAAGATCCGGCGAGAAACTCAGTGGGCTGTGTCTAAGAGTTAATTTGCTCGTCGAGCCCTTCGTCGCTAGCGACGGGTTCGACGAGAACGGTGACCGGGACCCCTATTTACATACATATCTATATAATATACCTAATTAAACACCGTTTTGTTTCCCGATAAATTCACCTATTCCTTTTCCCTAATATTTGAGGCATATCTGACGAAGACAAATACATATATACTTTTCAAATATCAAGAAATGTTTGTAAAAATTTATTTATTGAACATGATTATACATGTTTTTACAACGTTGCTTAAATTTCACGATGCTTGCGTGTTTGTTCCAACTGAAAGAATTTGACCGTGGACTCCATTTTTTTTAGTACATTTCATTATCATAAAACTTGATATCTATTGAATCCTTTCATTTTTTAAATGTATCAAACTTGAGAGTTGCGAACATTACAATATGTCGCGCACCCAAAGACTGCAACTCTGAATGAAATCGGTCCGTCCATTAACACTGTCAATACAGTAATGCGTTAATAGTAATCTCGTCAGCATACATTTTATAATACGAACATTTGAATACTACTAAAACTTACAGTTCCGAGCTTGAAAAATACACATGGCAAACATAGGCAAACGTTTTAACTCCATACAAATTTGAGTTAACTTTTACGCTATCGAGAACGTTAAATAACTCGCACTAAGCGCACAGGTACAATTTTTTTCTAATGAAAACTTACTTAACGAATGTTCGTGATTGACTTCTACGGTGAAAGAATAACATCTCTAATAAAAATCAACTTATAATTTGCATTATTTAATATTATAATTGGTATTATCACCCTGCCTATTTCTGTGTTGAAGCAGTAATGCGTTTTGGTTTGATGATTGAAGCAGCCATTGTACTGTAAAAACTCAGATCTTAGACCTCATGTCTCAAAGTGGGTGGCGGTATTTACGTTGTTGTTATCTATCTATGGGCTCCGCTAACCACCTGATACCATGTGGCCCGTGAGCTCGTCCACCCGTCCACGCAATAAATATTTATATAAAACTAGCTGACCCGGCAGACTTCGTAGTGCCTCAATCGATAAATAAAAGACCGACGGGGGACGCATCAAAGAAAAACAAAATTGTTTTTTTTATTTAATTCCGAGCATTTTCATATTTCTTTTAAACCTTCTCTGGACTTCCAGAAATAATTCAAGACCAAAATTAGCCAAATCGGTTCAGCCGTTCTCGAGTTTTAGCGAGACTAACGAACAGCAATTCATTTTTATATATAGAGATATCATAGCCTAAGAGAATCAAGAAGAACCATTTGAGGCTAGTGGCAGACAGGTAGACAAAATGAAACTATCCCGAAACTATCATCTACATTAACATAATTTGTTACAAAAAATTATCAAGATTTTACTAGGACGCCTAATACGAAAAAACAATAATTACCTAAGTTGTAACCGAAGCAAATCCGAAGCCATTGTCGAGAACTTATAACAATGATAATTACTATCAGACGACCTATTGTTTATTTACACGCAATATTGCATTAGTGGAAACTAGGAAACTTTAAAATCGTAGAAAAATTATAAATAAAATTTTGTCATTGAAATAAGGAAGCAGTGTAGGTACATTTTGTTGCAAACACCAACACAAACGGGAGTTATGTTGGAGAGTGACATGCGTTTCGCGTCTATGACATGATTTTGTTGTTTTTTTTTATGATCTTGATGACTATTGTACTCTTTTTAACACACTTTAATTAGTTTTATATGTATGTTACGAAATCTTTGAATGTAATTTTCATCGACTTCAAAACGTCCCATTGACTTGAAAATTTGCTCACGCATCTAGGATCTATGGTGTTGGCAAAAGACTAGTTTTTCTAAAGGTAAACACTACGCTGATATTCAAGGCTTTATTCCTCCCCGACCTTGGTTCTGCAACTTCAAAGATTTACATAAACGCGTTACAAGTACGATCTGTAGATTAAGGCTAGGCCATACGTGTACCCCCGTCCATCTGGCTAAACTTCATATCAGGGATAGTTCTATTTGCGAATGTGGTCTTGACGAAGGCTCTCCAAATCACATGTTTTTCAGTTGTCCTCGTCTATCTTCCTCCCTCTATGATCTCCTTCCTCCTGATATTCCTCGCCCCATTGATCTCAAATCTCTTCTTTCCCTTGTGAACTCCCTTTTCGTTTATATTCTTAGTTCATTCATTAACCATAATAATATTAAGCTGTAGTTTGTCTGTTATCGAACTAACCCCTGTATATATATGTTGTATGTATATTGTTTTAGGTAAATCAACAGAGATCCTGTCATCAAACATTCTTAGCTACCCACTTAATTCTTAGTGAATATCTGTGACCTTGCTCGTTCACGAAGCCCGCTATAGAAAGCAGAGTATTAAATACACTTGACATTGGCGAAATCTAAAAGGAAACGCCATAAACCTAAGAGATAGATAGATAGATAGGATCTATGGCAATACAATTATATTATAACTTCGATCTAATATTCTGAGCAGTCAGCGAGAGGATAAAGAAAGGTGGAAGGTATTTTTAGTTTAGTTTGCTGTTTTAGGTTTTCTTAGGTTTTAAATTACATGTACTGTTTACTGGTGGTAGGACCTCTTTTGTGAGTCCGCGCGGGTAGGTATCATCACCCTGTCCATTTCTGCCATGAAGCAGTAATGCGCTTCGCTTTGAAGGGTGGGGCAGCCGTTGTAACTATTCTTGAGACCTTAGAACTTATATCTCAAGGTGGATGGCGCATTTACATTGTAGATGTCTATGGGCTCCATTAACCACTTAACACCAGGTGGGCTGTGGGCTCATCCGCCCATCTAAGCAATAAAAAAAAATGTCGAGGAGTGAAAGGCTTAATGGTAATGGGAAAGGTTTAGTTGACGTTTCATTTTGAAATTAAAGGTACGTTTTATTTCATATTAGGATCAACAGTTCGATGTTTTTGATTGAGCTTCAATTAAGTTTACTCAATTAAAATAGCCGAAGAATTTTTTTTTTGTTATGATATTTTTTCCAAATTTTAAACTCTAAATGACCCTCCTGGAAATTTGCAGAAATGTCGATTTAACCAAATAAACTTTCTCCCCTCGATGTCATTATATTATGTCCGTTGTCACCCTTGTAGTCAGGTATATCATTGTTTGCCTCTCAATATTTGAACAACTCTTAAGTCCGTAGTCCCGAGACAGGTCACATATCTCTACTGAAAGTTCGTAAGCTGAAATATATTCGCTAATCAATAAAAACCTCAAGTTATATTATGCTGCGTTTTAAATGGAGGTAATTTGTTGTTTGTGTCAAAACTTTAAAGCATTATAGATATACTAGCAGTACTCGCCCGCTTCGCTGTGCATTTAAAATTAACAATATTATTTATTGTCATTATTATTAGGGAGTCGAACACTCATATAAATATTAGCTTATCCATTAAGCACATGTATTTCCTACGTGGATACCAAGTTTCAAGTCAATCGGATGCATGGTTCAGTAGTTATAACGAAACATCCGTAAAAACCACTATAGATTTATATATTAGTTTTCTGAATCTGGTGTGAACTGGCTTTCTTCTGATACATCGTAGTATTTAAGTAATTAGCATGGGTTACTGCCATCAATCATTTTTTAAATTGAATCATCTGTGCCTTCCCGTCCGAAAAGTAGGGTAGTCTGTTACGAAAAAATAAATTACAAACCACTCTTTTAACGGGCTCCGCTTCTGTGTACAAGTGTAGTTTGACTGCTGGGTCTGGACAGGGTTCCCACTCCCGCCTCCATATGCAGTCTTCGAACGACGCGTTGAACGAGTCGCTGTGTAAATACAGGGCTTCCTTTATCGGGTTTGGTGGACGTTCCCGTTGTGTCTCCGTATCTGTGGGACGAAATGTTCGCGTATAATTTAGAACCTGTGTGCTTAGTGCGAGTTTTTTAACGTTCTCGATAGCGTAAAAGTTAATTGAAATTTTGTATGCAGTTGGAACAGCGCCCCTAGCGGCAAACGTACGCAAACGTTCCAACTCCATACAAATTTTCGTTAACTTTTACGCTATCGAGAACGTTAAAAACTCACACTAAGCACACTGCTCGCCAATTGTATTTAAAACCGTATTCTGTGGAAAGCGCGCTGAGGGCGTATTTATGAACCATATTTTTGTTTCCCACCGTTCACTTTCGGGGCAGAGCGCATCCCTACAACCTGGCATGGCAGCATTAATCCACAGTTCGTTTCCAGAGGTCTTTCTTCGTCGCTTACCATGCGGCGCTGGAGCGAATTCTTCTCTAAGTCGTTTCATGACTTTCCAACGTAGCTTGAAAAAGCCACTGTGCACAGCTGTTTGATTGTGCTGCTGGCTTTGCCGATGACTATAAGCAACATTGAACACTTATCATTGCTCCAGCCAAGCGGAATTGTTTACGACCCACCTAGTATTAAGTGGAAAACCACAAGCAACGTCAGTGCCAAGGTTAAAAAATTCGCTCTCATGAGATATATGCTGAATGGTGATATCTACCATTTTTATTTTTATTTTTTTTATTGCTTGGATGGATGGACGAGCTCACAGCCCACCTGGTGTTAAGTGGTTACTGGAGCCCATAGACAGATTCTACAACGTAGATGCGCCACCCACCTTGAGATATAAATTCTAAGATCTCAGTATAGTTACAACGGCTGCCCCACCCTTCAAACCGAAACGCATTACTGCTTCACGGCAGAAATAGGCAGGGTGAAGGTGACCACCCGCGCGGACTCACAAGAGGTCCTACCACCAGTAAAGTGGTGCTTAAAGGTGTATTTCTAAACTATTCTAATTCGTTTCTAAACTAGTTAGATAGTTTCACATCTCAGGGAAAGATGATGTCGCACATAATTACAGATATTATTAACATAAGGAACCTGTTTTTAAAAATGCATTTTAAAAGCGTTGAACCCGAGAAGGTTAATTATTTCTATCAACTTTCGGTTATATAACGAACCTTCTAATAACTTACAGAAGAAGCATTCGTCTTTCGTTTTGTTCTTTGACCGCGCAAGATTTAAAGTTATATATTTGTGTTTGCCGATAGTTGGGGAATACTTTTTTTCAACATAATGTTATTTTTAGCATAATAATAGTACTTAATAATATGAATATTGTTTTTTGTGTTAACGAGTTAGGTGTTTTGGTGCAAACTGTAAGCCTGACTTTGTATTGGATGGAATAAATAAATAAATTTCATAACATATCGTAGTTCAGTTTTTAAACGCGCTCGAAATTATTTAAATTGATCGATTGATAAATAAATGAGGTGTAAGCTAAACAAGCAAAATAATTTCAAATTTATATGTTTTTATTAAATTTAATATTAAATAATGATCTACTAATAAAGAAACAAAAATGTTTGTGTTTTGTGTTTTTTTAAATAATGACAACACGCATTTATTGCCCTAGCAGATGTTCAAGAAAAGGGGTAAATTCGGTTTTTAGAAATTAATTCATTTAATAAAAAAACACTATTTACGTACCTCGTAAGAGTAACACTATTACTACAATAGTCGCGTAAAACAGATGCGTACCGTACGCCATCCTTGCAGTTCGTCCCGACACTGGTGCGTTAACTGAACTGTCGCCAACGTCTTCTAGCCACGAGGAGGGGACCGATGCCACTATAATAATATGTAGAAGCAACCGATACTTTCCTACCGTTCGGTGGGTGTTCAATTGTGATTAGAAGGTGCTTACTTACCACTGTTGAGTTTTAATGTTGCTCATCACTTTGCTAACAATCTACTAAGTTACAATTTGAATAACAATTAAGCTAAAACACATGCTTACACAAAGTCATTTTCTGTACAAGCAGTTATACTTTGGAATTCCTTCCCTCCAAGCATACGAGCGTGCAAAACCATAGCAGCGTTCAAGAAATCTGTTAAAGAACACTATTTATCTTTTCTATATTAAATAAAGATATATGTATATATTTGTATAATGTATTATAATATAAAATAAGTATATGGATGTGTATTTTGTATCTTGTAATATGTTTATATTATTCCTAATTATTGTTTCCTTCTGCTGGCCTACTGGAAGAGATTTCAACACGAAATAAGTAGTGCCCTTGTACTCTGTATCCTTATTGTCGTGTTTCTTCTAACAACTGTGTGTACAAAATATTAAACAAAAAAAAGCGTAATTATCAAACATAAAATTAATTAATAATTTCTCAAAATGAACTGTCTTTCTTTCTTCTTACGGTAGGCAGCGGCTTGGCTCTGCCCCTGGCATTGCTGACGTCCATGGGCGACGGTAACCACTCACAATCAGATGGGCCGTATGCTCGTCCGACTACAAAGGAATAAAAAGAAAAAAAAATGTTCTTCACATTTTTTTAATCACTAATATTCGAGTATTGGCATCTTTACATCGGGGATTTTCATAATGGCTTAATCGAAAGACTTCAGTCAAATCAATTATAAAATATGTGTAATATATTCCAGAAAGTTCTAGTAGAATAGCCTAATAGATGAAGTTGTCCGCCCATACCTAGAACACTAAAGGTACACCGAAAAATATATCGTATAATTTAATAATATATTGAAGAAGATTGTGATTCAAATTTTTTGTTTTATTATATAATTAATTGTTGTATAAATTAGTATGTAATGTTGAAATAGTTAAAAGTTTTTGTTTTTGTTTAAAAATATTCCCTGTGATTCATATGAAATATTTTTTCGCATTTATGAATGGGAGTCTGTCTAAGTATCTTTAAGCAAGACCAATGTAATTGTCGTGTAGCTATCACACTATTTTATAAAATATTAATTATTTCTCCTTTTAAACTAAAGAAAAGTCAACGTAGCCGCATTGGAGCCAAGGTTACATTTGTAACTTGATGAGATATCTTTGTGTTGGATTCAAATGTTGGCAGCGTTGTTAATGGATAGGCGAATGGAGTGCGATAGTGTGCGTGACACACAGGTGAGATTGTGGTAGGCTGTAGAGCGAGACGCCGCGAGAGCCTGCGCGCAGGTAGAGCAGTCTGCGCCGGTCGGAGACACGCGCAGCGCGCGCGCCCTCCTGCCTCTACACACTACTCGTAACGCTATTAAGTATAACCTGACTTAAGAAAACAACAACTAAATATGAACAGCTTACAATATTGAACACGTGCGTGAAGTAAAAGTTTCAGTGTCTGTGAAGTTCAAGTGGTCGTGTAATGCAGAACTAAGAATCGAGTTAATTGTGCGAATGCCACGGTCCGCAGCCTACGCAGCCGGCAGCGTTCCCCTCCTATCATCATTCAAGGACCAATCGTTGAACTCATGCCGTGTCAGCTTTCGCGCGGTCGCAGTGTGCTGATTTAGGAATGACCTTCGAGAACGCATAACGATGTACTGACTGAACTGGGGCGAGCGAAGCGGCTCCGAAAATGTCAATCAACCAGAACGCCGGCCATTTCAGTAAACAAAAACATCAACTAGGCAAACAGGCCCCAGAACCGGTAAACTTTCCACCGCGTTATCATCCGCCTCCGGCCGCCGGCGCGCCCAGACTGTCCACTGTTGACGCGACTGCCAAAGAGTTCAAACCGCCGTACTTAAGTAAAACCATTGATCCGTCTAAACTACAATATCCAACAGGAATACACGGAACGGTGCCTGGAAATTATCCCAGTGGATCTGTACCTGTTTCAAAATATCCTCAAGGATATCCTACGGGGTATCCACTGCCCCCTGGAGCATTACGGGTGCTGAGACCGTCTGGAGAACTAATAACTAAGGCAATTGTCCACGAACCCGTGGAGCCAACAGTGCGGGCGAGAAGTGCCGACGACACCCAACGTGCCCAACGTAATTTAGAGGAAGAACAAATTCACAGGAGGTCCGCAGATATGCTGAAGTTCACGAAACGAGTCGAGCCCGAAGGTCCTCGCGCGTCGAACGATCAAAGGCGGCAGATACAAGCGCTGTTAAACGACATTAAAGCATTGAAAGAAGCGAATCGCCGCCTTACGGAAGATAATCAAGAACTTCGGGATTTATGTTGTTTTTTAGACGATGATCGCCAAAAAGGAAGGAAACTAGCAAGAGAGTGGCAGCGGTTCGGAAGATATACTGCTTCTGTGATGCGACAAGAAGTATCTGCGTATCAAAGTAAGCTAAGAGAACTTGACGATAAACAACAAGAACTGATCCATGATAATTTGGAATTAAAAGAATTGTGTTTGTATTTGGACGAGGAACGCGAGAGAGTCGTGTGCTCTAACTGTGGAAGAACAACCGGTAGAGAACGGGATGATGGCGATGGAAGTAGCAGCGGTACGAACGCAGAAGAAGGTACACGGCCAACACCTTCCGTATCGATCACGCATCCTCAATTGGCTGAAAGAACCGTTCAGTACGTAAAGGACTTAGAACAGAAGATACGACGACTAGAGGCTGAAAAAGGCTTGGGAGGTGCTACGAACGAACGCCCAGAGGCTGTAGTGCGAGCCTTGCAAGTTCTCGAAGTCAGAGAAAAAGTTGAAAGGGAAAGAAGAAGGCCAGCACCGGACCTAGACTCCGGTGAGCAAGCTCTTGTGCGTGAAATGTGCAACGTAGTTTGGGGGAAGTTAGAAGACGCACCACCACAAGCACCGCCTCGTTGAAAATATCTTTATTTAACGTTCTGCTATTGAGTGACAATAAAAGTAGACCAAGTTTAGTTGTATAGACCAGTGCGATAGGAATCCGACTTGATTGAGGTCACACAACATGGCCTGTCGTATGCTGTGACCTACAGAAGGAAATTAAGCGTTGACCTTGTTTATCAATCCAAACATAACAGTAAATAAAATAAAAACACATACATATATACTGATGACAGACATTGTGATGTCCTTAATACAAATGAATGAAACTGAATAGTACAAAATTAGATATTAAAATTAGGTTAAGATAATTCTTAAAAAAGCTAAGTAGGGATTATAAAATACATGGCCTTTTTGTAAACTTTACAAATTATTTCTATTTTCGTGTTGCTAATGTATTGAAAAGAAATCGGTCTGCTCTTAGAGGCTATACGTTGTTCTTGCTGAAAGTCTGTGATCGAGAGTGGTTTTATTAATCGTCTTTAATTGTTGCTTCTTGCCAGTCAAACACATACTTGTCAATAATAAACTTGATGTTCAGTTTGCTCTGTATCTAGTCAGTGTCCATTTACTTACTGCATATAGGGCCCGTCGTCATTTTAATACTAAGTTTTAATGCTTGCTTTTTGTATTTAAAAATATATTAAGGAAGTAGTTTTAAAGAGTTATTAATTTATTTGATTGAAAATAAAGTTAATTATTAATTGTTTTTATTCGTATGATTTATTTCAACCAATCTTATCTCTAGGTTATTACTAAAAGAGAATGAACAAATACTAATTAAATAATAATTAAATGAATTTCATAAACAAGATAATAATATCTACGTGAGTTTTACTGTTAGAATCACAACCGTCGTAGCAGCATAAAACTTATTTATGTTTGATACATTCCCAGATGTCAGTAAGTGTATTATCTGTGCATGTCAGTAAAATGTCTGTCAATGACCCGCCAAATTAAAATTGCATAGTGATTCATTTTCTTCGGACAGGTTTTGATTGAGTTCCCAGCGTATTCATTTACACATACCGAATAAACTTCTTGGTGTCTTTTGTAATTATTTAATTGGTATAGTATTCAAATGATGCATTTGTTACAGACTTCCTTTTCTTCTTGCTCTTATCCCATATTATATGGGGTCGGGACACAATGTCGTCTTATCTAGGGATTTGGCATGAGTTTTAGAAACAAGGCAGACGTTCCTGAGGTCAACCATACATGGGTTATATCTCCAGTAGTACGAGTATATCCATTGCAACGTTCCGTAGCGAGGGATTATCATGTTTCTTCTTTTGATGCTTGAAGTAAAAGACACTTCATCCGCTTTTTACTTCTATGATTTCAAATTTCGATTTTCAATTAACACATTTTAAAAATAAAAATATTGCATTTTATTCGTTTTTCTGTATTTTCACATTACAGTATTGACGAAAAAAGAATGGTCGAAGAAAAGGGAGAGGGGCCTGAAGATGTTGATACCATTGGGGTAAGTAACTAAGTAGCCGACGACAAACTAATTACACACAATGTTTGTTTATTAATGTCCTAATAATACAAATCTGTTACAAAGCTCTATGAAATAAAATGTCGTGTTAATGATCGAATCTAATAAAATAACCGAAGGTTTTATTAGCTTTCTAAAATACCCAGATCGAATACCTGCGTGTTTTATTTTAAGATACTAAATAGATTCTAACTCACCAAGAGTCATTTCAAAAGCGTCCCTAGCAAGATTGTCATAGCAATACCTTCCGACTGTAACTAACTGACAATGCTTAGTTGATTTTTTGTTCAGATTTACGTAGGCGGTCGCAATGCTGATGGCGAACGCCACGGAGAAGGCTGGGCTGTTCTACCGAATGGCGATTTCTATACAGGCTGTTACTGTAGGGGCATGAGGAACGGAAAGGGACTGTATGTATTTAAAAACGGAGCTAGATACGAAGGTTCGTTTATAAATAACAGTCCGTGGAATTTTATTTCAGTTGTAAACTACATCTGGTTCGTGTGTTTTGAGTTGAAGATTAAAGAGATAATGTAAACCATGTTTTACTATAATGATTATATTCTAGGTAACTTACCTCACATTGTATCACAAAAATGTAAACATTTTGGTGTGTGTGTGTGTGTGTGTTTTTTTTTTCCTACATATGCTGATAGCCTTGAGAGGCTATTTCAGCTTCACCCTAAGGTGTAGGTTAGCTCACGGGGCTCAAACCGGAGTGTTGCTAACCCTAGCCCTTAGCAAGAGCAGTACTTCGCAGAATCTACCACCAGATCGGAAATGCGACCAACTGAGAAGATCCGGCGAGAAACTCAGTGGGCTTTGTCTATGGGTTATTTTACTCGTCGAGCCCTTCGTCGCAAGCGACGGGTTCGACGAGGACGGTGACCGGTTTGGTGTGTACGTTTGTAATTGTTAATAACCAATGGTTGATTTCTTTTATATGTGGTTTTCAATGATGTTTTGAGATACATAGGCAGTAATTTAAGTACATAAGCTATACATACAAGTTGTTGAACACGATTTTTATTAGAAGCTCTAACAATGAGGTTAAATATCGTAAGGGGCAAATAAATAATTTCATTTTAATTCCTGTTTCATTCAAATCGGTTGACAAAGTTTGAATTTTACCAAAACAATAATTGTATCCGACTTATTTTTAAGTATCCTAGCAAGTTTTACTGTTATCCAAAATTCCATTTTTTTGTTCAAGGCTATATTGTGCTTCTTTAACTCGTAGATTTAATATGCAACCATAATGCTATGTTGTGACCTATTGAGCAACGTACGATATTTATGTAGGTGAATGGCGCAGAGCCATGAAATACGGGGTCGGACAAATGATATACCCAGACGGTTCTCGATACGAAGGCGATTGGAAACACGACCTGAAACAAGGTTTCGGCGCCTATAGCTACCCCAACGGGGATATTTACGAAGGCGCCTGGTTTAAAGGAAAACGACACGGTCTTGGAACGTATTTCTATGCAGACTCGAAAGTTAAATTTATGGGGACTTGGATAGAGGGTACAATTGAAGGTTCAGGTCAGATAATTTATCCTCGCTATCGCTACCACGGCTCATGGGTGAAGGGAATGCCGAAAGGAACGGGTTGTTTCGTTTTTGACACCGATTGTATGCAGCATGGATTTCACCTGTTGACCAAAGATCCAAATTTAGAAGAATACGGTGAAGGCGAAGAGGAGAAAGAAGAAAAAGACGCAAAAGACGATAAACTTGAGGAAGGTGAAGAGGAAACAGAAATAGATGAAACTTTAGGTATGTGTTTTAAAATAAGTATTTTATTCAGATATACCTATAGTTTGGTTCGTTAATTTATCAAACTTGTGTACACCCTGCAATCATTAAGCGTATGATGTCGTAAAACATGAGGTGCATTTTCAAATTCTACAGAAAGAGTATCTATTAGCCTTAACATTTGATTTTCCGTGGCAGAAACTAACCTGCCCATTTACTAAATAAAAGTTGGTTAGATTTGCTGTTTGATTCGTTCGTATTTTAGAATGCTTTAATATTACCTACTTGAATTTGATTACTTTCTTATATTCAAGGTAAAATCTCAGTTTGGCGAGCACGCAACGTGACTGCATACATGGCGGAGTTCTTGCCTCCTGAACCAGTTCCTCTGCCGGTACACGATTCGATACCATCCCTGACAAACGAAAGTGTGGAAACAGACCTTTTGGTGTTCGAACCACCATCTTTAGCCCCAGAGTACGAAGGTCAAGACGATAATGATTCTTGGTTGTTGCACAGGCAAAAGTTCTTGGAGGAAACTGAGCAGAAGGATTAGATGTTGGGAGATAATGTTGAAATGTAATATTAATTAAGTTCTTTTTCAATTTCGGCCACTCTAACGGAACGATTTGTTGTCTATTGTAATATATTTATTGAAGATACCTACGTATTACTTATTGGTTGCATATTCCTTCCACTTTCTCCTTGCGTCAATAGTGTTTACTGCTGAGGGATCGTGGCTTTTCTCTTGGACACTCTTGCGCCAGCTCAGTTTATCCTCGGCTGAGTGGATGGCGATGTCGACTGACGTGTTGAGGGTAGAGCGTAAGTGGTCCGACCAGCATATTGGACTACTGCCTTTAGGCTTTCTCTTCCGTATACCCTGTCTATAACCAGAAGCTTTTCTAAGCTGTTGCCTCTTTTCCTGGCAATGTTTCCAAACAACTCAAATCATCTTTACATAATACGGCTGTAAATGAAATGGTATAGGCTCGCAAAAATATACTTATACACTAAATATACTGAACAACAAGCCCCAGCCTATTTCTACCGCAAAGAACTCATGCGTACGGATTTGAAAGGCAAATTTATTGATGTCGGAAATTCAGACACGGTCCACGGATAATTCTATTTTCGGCAATACATCAGAAGATATAGGAATGGAACCAAAGCCGCATTTAACTGGCGCTAATTTCACTTAACTCATCCGTAAAGCTATCGAATATATCACCGAAGCTAACGTGAAAGCCACAACTCAACCTCGAAATTGAAATGTCTTCTTTCAACCCATACTACTAGAAAGAGTCAGGATGCCAATTCAGGTACCGACCCGTACGGTACCGCCATCCCTACAATACGCTCTACCACCAAATGTTACGAAAATTTAAAATAGCTTAATAGCTTTGATCTTTAATAAGTGATATCGTTTAATCTGGAGATTCACTGGTGGTAGGACCTCTTGTGAGTCCGCACGGGTAGGTACTATCACCCTGCCTATTTCTACTGTGAAGCAGTAATGCGTTTCGGTTTGAAGGGTGAGGCAGCCGTTGTTACTCTAATTTAAACAGTTTGATACCTTAGAACTTATGGTGAGTGGCGCATTTAATTCGTAATGTCTATGGGCTCCAGTAACCACTTAACACCAGGTGGGCTGTGAGCTCGTCCACCCATCTAAGCAATAAAAAATAAATAAAAATACATCATCAATGTATACGTGTCAGCTGTATTTTTGCATAGAAAAACCGATACCTGCTTGCACAATTACTTTCTTCAACACTCGTATAGACATCGCACAATTACTATCGTCTTTAAATCTTACTACTTCTTAAATTACCCAAAATTTTACTAGTGATTAAGGCACATCGTAATCTCGCATGACGCATCGGTTGATACCATTAGCGTGTACCGATGCCGCGGTGTGAGGAAGGCGGTATGGTCGTAACGTTGGTTGGTTGGTGACATCTGTATGCGCTGGCGTTGTGGTATTTGTTGTCTAAGTTGTGATATTTGTCTACATTTTATTATTATTATACATATACTTTTTTTTTATACAATAAGATGTCTTAAGACATTCAACCGTAATTCTGAGAATAACATTTATTTATTTATTGCTCAGATGGTTGGACGAGCTTACAGCCCACCTGATGTTAAGTGGTTACTGGAGCCCATAGATATCTACAACGTAAATGCGCCACCCACCTTGAGATATAAATTTATTTCTTAGGCGGTGCATGCACGATGTCCATTGACCATATCAATTAATCTACAGTAGATTTAGTAGATCTTGAGGGGCTCTTCTTCCGAGTCTCCTTGTATTTGTCCACATATGACCACACAGAACAAAAAACAATTAGTAATAGTCTAGTACCTATTTGAGACTTTCAGTAGACAGTGGCTTTAAAGCTTCCAGTAGAAATTCAAAACGATGGTGGACTGCAAGCTCGACTCGCCAATCCATGCGAATGATAAAACTAAATTAAATTTTTAAAATACAACACCCTTTATTCATGATGATGTTTACTTAGCTATTATTAAAAATGTGGTAGAATAAATAATATTACAATGTATTGGGTTTCAAATATTTATTTGAATAAGAAAATAACTACGCGCAAGTAATTTGATTATAATTAAAGTAAGGCCCACTTATTGCGAAATGATGTTTTCAAATTACTAGCTCTACGTATTGCTTATCACATTTATCAAGGTACATTATTCAGTTCCATGTGCACTGGGTTTTTAAAGCTGATACAATATAGAGTCCAAATCCATCTATTACATTTTTTTATTCAATCAAAGCTTCAATAATCTGAACCTCGTGAGGCAAAATCTCTTAAAACAAAAATAGTTTCAATCGTGTCGAACACATCTTCAACACATCTCAACTATTTGTTAAAACATTCATTTTAAATTTGTAAAATAAATATAGTTTCATATATAAAAGAAGTTTGTCAAAAATATTTGTCATTTAAAACGTTTACCAGTTGAATTTCAAAACTTAGCTACATACAATTCACTTATTTAAACAAAGCATGTATCTAAAAATATTACTAGTGCATTTGTTTTCTCAGCATCCACATATCTTTAATTGTTAAATTGTCAGATATAAATTATTGATGTGCAAACTTTTACAGTTTATCTCAAATTAATTAAAATTAAAAGTTACATCCGTGAAAGAGAGATTCAGTTTACAGTGAAATAGTTTTATATTATGCCCGACTGCAAAATTAACAGTTATCAATAAATGTTTTATAAGACTCATCCTCTGTGCTCAGAATATTGAGGTCCTATTGTAAAGTTTTGATCACTTTTTTGTTATAAATCCACTAGTGCAACTGTAATACTTAAAACAAATTTTCGTGGTTTGCTGTATGAAAGCCATTATATTTTTGTTATTTTACTTATAGTTTATGGACAGAAAATTGTTATAGATTTGTTTTACAGGTGTCGCTATGACTAACTGTTATTTTAGAATGAGTACAACTTTTTGTCTATAACTAAATATTCTTGAGTACAGATACTAACAATTCATCGATTATATATTTTCTTTTTGTCAACTATAGTGTACATATGCATATTATAAGGCAAACTGGTATATATTTTCTAGTCTGTTAAATAATAGAACTATAAAATTTGAGCAATTTACACCATTGTCATTCGCTGTTTATGTCACCAGATGAGTGTCCAACAAAATGTTTCCAGTCATTGCTTTGAGATTAGCTACTTTCATTGTTTGCATTATAATAAAGCTATACTTATGTTTGTGGGTTTGTTGGTTGATTATTGTTATTGCCTGAGTTGGCAAGTTCGAAAGTAGTTTTGTTTTTAAGTAAGTAAGCTGCTAAATAATTTATCGGGTCCGGAGGACGTTCTTTAGCTAATGCTGATAGACCTTGCAGCAGTATGGGTACTACTGTCTGGTCCAAATACTGTCGAGTCGGTAGAGCATTGAGGTCAATCCTGGATTTTCTGTTAGCATTGGCTTCATTGTCTTTTTCCATTAATATAATTTTCTGTAAATAATATTTTTTTTATCTCGTAATCTGTTTAGCAAAATATATCCATCACTTTATGTAGAGGTAAATTTCAAATCTAGCTTTTTAACTTTTTGCTGCCATGGTTACCACAAGATGTTATTAAAATTAGTTTTGTAGCCATGAATTATTCAAGGATTGTAAAAATTATTAAAATAAATTGTAAAATCGGTGATAAAATTTCTTTCTATACGATTTAATTTTGAATATGGCTAGTTTGAATTGTTTGAATAAAAAAGTCATTAAACCATCACACTAACCTTTACCGAATCTGGTATTTTCGTCGTGGATTGTTCTTCCTTGTTGTGATTTATCTGTGTTGAACTTTCTGACATGGGTTGTAATTATTTAAGTTGAACTTTGAAGAAATAATATTATCGAATTTTATTGTGGTGCGATCCGTGACTCGTAGTTCACTCACAATCACAACAGTCAATGGTGTTGTCAGGTTTTGTCTTCTCTACATTTTTTTCCACATTTCTTAAGGGAAATGGCTAATCACTTAAATTCTTCATTTGAACTAAGGAGATTAGTATGAGTTTCAGGCTGATTAACGAGTTTATGTTTAGCTTTGAGCTTCAAAGTTTTATCACATTTCATAAACTTTTATGTAATTTAATTTTCGAATGAATCAATCTGCTTTGTGAGATTTGTGTTTATTAAGTAAAATACGTACGACAGTCATACACATTACTGTTTATATTTTCTGCTTACTCATAATAATATATTAGGCTAGTATGTACAAACATGTTTTTCAAACAAAAAAAATCTTTAATAACACCGAGGATTCGGAATTTCCTAACTTTATGCAAAACTAAACTCTGGTAACATCGAATATTTATTTTTTATATTTTTTTAGCAACGTGTGAAGCACGCGTATCTCTTGTATAATGTTATACTATTGATTGACAGAACTGCTTTTCCTGATTATTTTTATTTTATTTCGTAAAACGGTTGAACAAAATCATTTGTTTTTATATTGCTTTAGTTGGGTATCTGTCAGGTGTGTAAAATGAGATAGTACTTTTCTTCTGCTTCTTTTCAGTATGACAATTGACAATCGACTTCTTACGTTGCCATTGCTGTCAATGTCGAGTGCTTAAAAACTTATTTATAAGCATTAGTGATGTCAACCAATTACAAGTTTTTGGCCACGGTTTAAACCGATTAGTTTTTAAAGTAAGCCGATTTGAGAAATCTGATAATAAAAAAAAAGAATGAAAATGATGAAAAGAATTAAAAAATGATTAAGAGAAATAAGAAGAATTGTATATGAAAGAAATGTTTATTAATCAATCGATATGTAATTTAATGGAGTTCATAATTTTGGTTTCCAAAACAGAGTTGATCTACTGCGGTGTTTTAAAGCCTGCTTCTACGTAACGTTAATACTTTATATTCCGATATTGAGAAAGTACGCTCGGAAGGTTTCTGGCATTAATATAAAATATTTCTTAGCTATTTATTCAAGCACTAAATACGCTTTAATTTTATAGAAAGCGCTTGTAAATCGTGCGCGTTTTTCAATTCCAGCAACGATTTCCATATACATTCGTAGCATATTTACAATATTAAATTTACTATTGAATCTGTAGCATTTGGACTCTCGGTTCGTTTCATTAGATCTAAAATTCGCGTTTATTTTTCAGAAATTTCCTCATGTAAAGTTCATACTAGTATTCATGGCATTTCATTGGAGGTTGTACTTAAGCCTGTATAAGTATTAAGCTCAGCTGAATGTGATCCGTTACGCTGAAGAAACCACGTCCAGCGACTTTATTTTATTTTCCCACCCTTGTGCGTTTCCAATGAACTCGTTGAACTCGAGTACGGTTACCTTGGTCCATATGCTTGCTCCTAATGTTATAGCTACCTACATGCGTCTAATAGCAGTGTTAGACTGTTAGTGGATCACGTGGATCTGTATGCACGTGTCTAGGCCGTCAAGGGTGACTGGCTCCTCAATGAGACAGTTCCTGGGATTAGTCAGCAGTGGTCACGATGAGGCGGTTCCTTATGTTGTAGTAATGTGTCTGGGAGGTTTATAAGGGAGATAAATAATATGAATACGTAATAGATAATAGAAATTATATCTAGAGAAATATGTAATAAAAATGAATTGGCTTTTTCTATTTATATTGTATAATAATGGTTTTTCTCTTCATTAAGTTTATCCTCTTCATGAAACTAGATCAAACTAGATCCTAAATGTCACAAACTAGACAAGATTCAAGAACAAATAAATGGTTTTTCGTAAATGAAAAAGGTTTTTTTTCGTATCCCTTCTCGGGTCTCCAATTCTCAATACTAATTATCTACAAGACAACTTAACTCAGCCTTTAACGCATGTGTCGTAAAGTTCAATGTCGTCTAAAGAAAGCCAACGAGCCATTCAGAAATTTGCTGGGCAACCCCTTCAGGCTTACCTGCTAGGATCGAATTATAACAAACAGGTCGTAGTGGTTTTGATGCCTGCTGACGTGAATAAAATAAACTACTAAATGAAACTGAAATTTATTCATCAACAAAACCCTTAGCTACACTGATTAATAATTAGTCTACCGTTATGAAGGTCGATCGGAGTAGATTTTTTAAATTTCATTTAAGTAATTCAAGACATTTGTAAAGCTGCCTGAATAAGTTCCTTAAGCAGTTGATTTTGTTATTTCTAATACAGTGCATTGGCATTTCTACAGAAATTAAAATTAGAATTAATTACATTATTTGACTTGTCAGTGTGCGTCTTAAGATTACGTTAAGTGACCATCAGATATTACTTTTTCAGATAATATTTCGTCTAATATTTTACCTAGTAGGGTCTTAAGTTCTCTCATTCTTATTTAGTTTCAATTGTGAAGATTTCGTCGAAATGTTCGGATTGATTTTGAATTAAAGGCCTTCTTCGGCTCTATTTAAGGATACTAATGCTCATACTGTTATATTTATAAAATAGTAGAGACGGCAAAATCAAGTTAGTGGCGTTTGTAGCGCAGCTATTACATTACACTTGCGATTTTAAATTTCTTTAAAAATTAAAAAGAACTGTACTCTTAATAATCTCGTACCGTTAAAACAAAAACAGACAAAAAAGCAGTGCGGGTGCGAATTGACTTCCCCAACGGTACAAGGTATGGCAACATTTGTAGATTTTTAAAAAAATTGCGAATTTCCGATCGCCTCCGTAGTTAAGGCGATAGATAAAATACACTTGAGGGTCTGTATTCAAAATCGGGAAAGAAATTCGAATACATAACTTAAAAATCTTACATTTAATTAATTTAGTTTTCTTATCTAGTTTTACACGAACATCAAAAGTGGTACAATTTGTTTCTTCGAGTGTGTTTGAATTTATGACCCGAGGAGCCAGGGTGGTTGTCTAAACTGTCCCTTAGGGAAAATAAACCGTTCCTAGCAATCGTGAATAGGAAATGAGACACAATCATTTTACCTTTAATTTTATTAAATCTAAAAATATTTATAAATTAATCATCAAACGACTTTCGTATTTTGTTAATTATAATACAAAATCTGAAATTTAATACTAGGTTGTAATGACCAAGAAAAATTATGGTCATCTGAAGCTACATATGCATAACAATATCTTTTCTTCGCACGTAAGTAAACATTGAGTCAGTTAAATTCATTCATTTTCACTACAACGTCACTTCACTATTTCTCACGTAATTAATACACAAATGACAGTCCGCTTTATTTATTTCATCCTTCAAACTAACATTGGCAATCATTATAGCCTTATATTTTAATGACGTAAGATTCTTCGTTATATTGGTGAGTTCTGTGGCGGGGCTATGTCCTGAGGTAGTGTATGGGTGGGGGCGGTGGTGGTGCTGGTCTGAGTCGCGGCGCCCGTTCCAGCTGTCTCCTCCACGACGCCATGGCCTCGCTCAGACTCCACAATTCGGACAACAGCGACAGATCCAACTGACGCAGGCTGGCCTGAAAATATAAACATAACATACCATTAGAATAAAGTGTATTTTGCGTAAAAATTATTAATTTAAAACCAATTTTTTTTACAGTGAAATTATTACAATTGTTTTTATTTATTGCTTAGATGGGTGGACGAGCTCACAGCCCACCTGGTGTTAAGTGGTTACTGGAGCCCATAGACATCTACGACGTAAATACGCCACGTACCTTGAAATATAAGTTCTAAGGTCTCAAGTATATTAACAGCGATTGGCCCACTCTTCAAACCCAAACGCATTACTGCTAAACGGCAGAAATAGGTAGAGTGGTGGAACCTACCCGCGCGGACTCACAAGAGGTACCTGTCACCTACCGACAGTAAAAAAATTTGCAACATCATACAAATTTCTAACGGAACGTAGTTCCTTGTTGAAGTGTAGCATCTGTTGCCATATGCCTTAAAACAACTGGTGTGCCTATCTATAGGCATGTGCACAATCCTAAAATTCTATTATTACTTTTCTAAATAGGTATGCTACTGAGTGCGAATTCGCGAACGACTTACGAGATGAGCACAACGCACCGGTACACCATCGTGTATTAAAATCAAAAGCAACATACAATTGCTTGCATGTGGTCGTTTACAGACAGACCAGTATTTACCGTTTTTTTTTCCTACCTAAGCTGGTGACCTTAGTGGGTTATGACAGCGTAACCGAATGAGTAGGTGAGCTCACGGGGCTCTAACCTGAGGACGTTGCTAACACTAGCCTTAGCAAGAGCAGTGCTTCGCAGAATCCGGATCGGAAACGCAACCCACTGAGAAGATCCGGCGAGAAACTCAGTGGGCTGTGTCTGTGGGTTAATTTACTCGCCGAACCCTTCGTTGCGAGCGACGGGTTCGACGAAAACGGTGACCGGTGCTTCTGGCACCTAAAAGCACCGATAGTGGATCGGGAGGATCCGAAATGACGTGTTTTGGGTGACGTCGACTGTTTACCATATTTGCCGCAAAGATGTCACATTTCTATAGCCATCGATGGCAGACCACACAATCCAGGTGCGATGTATTTAGCGTCACCCATGGACACTGTCAATGACCAGCCAAACCGATGCTTAAATACGTCACCGTTTCGAGGATAGAATAATCTATGCAATTGAAACTTTGGAATCACGATTCAGGGTGGTGACCGCATTTAGACAAATAAATGGTTCGAAGGTTTCAAAATATATCTAAATATAACAGAATTTAAAACTCTTATCAAATAAAAAAAATGGGGCATTTTGTTAGAGATAAAGGTAGTCGGATATAAAGCAATCTGCTTTTAAAAACATTCAAAATCTACGAAATATTAGTTCAAGTACCCAGTTTTGCAAAAAAAAAAAAACAAATATCTTCGTCTACCTACATCGGTTATTCGTTGTATGAGTCATATAAAATATATTTATCTTTTTTGTTTCTAAATAATCAGACAGACAGAACCTGTTTATTTTCCTTTGCTTTATGTCCGTAATAAAACGTAAACATTGTTTACTATACGTAATTCATCGAAATGCCTACCGTTCGTTTTACGATCTTTTCCAACATTGATCTTAATTCAATTGATTAGGTATTGGGAAGATGAGCTCTCGGTCTATCTGGCGCTGAAACATAACCGGAGCTCCTAAACTTAAGCTTTCGATGGCGGCCATCATTGCTTTGTAAAAAATAGTACTGCTATCGATCGATCGTTCAACCCAGCCTTCAACAAGCCTTCAGTGTAAACAATATATGAGGCCGTCAGCGCAAAAGTAGCCAAGTTTATCATAGTTAGTATGTTAATAATGAGGTTTGAATTTACTTTTACACTACTTCGTTGGCTAAAACAATACGCGCCAAAATAAGTTTTTACAAAGCCATCTGTTATCTATGGGTCAAACTAGAGATAGGCCGGTTTTGCATCAAAATTGATTATGTTTTAAATAAATTGGCATTATCTAAGCACGCGAATATGAAAATTTATGGGCTAGGTCACTTTGGTGCTGATGGCCTCATATAGTTCTTCAACTTCATTTGAAGAGTTTATCTAAAGATATTAATTGAGATTCGTGAAAACATTTTATCGGAACCTCAATCGCCGTATACGATAGTCGGATGTTATCGATCGAGAAAGATTTCAAAGATCCTTAACTGGATGTCAAACGTAGCATAAAATAATATTTAATGAAAAAAGAATACAAGATCGGTCCCGAATAAATGGAATTAAAGTTTCACTCACGTCCAAGTAGTAAACGGTCTGATGAAGCTGACGATGTATGGAAATAAGGAAAATATTAAAACTACCATGTTTAACAATTAACCCAAAACAAGCGGGTTTTCTAAACAAAACTTTGTGTTCGACCTAATTCTACGGAATTAAATAAACCTGTATGTAGATTTATGAGTTCCTGCGAATCACGATATTTCAAAATAATGTATTAACGTTATTTATGTATCGCGTACGTGATGATTGATAGCTCCAATGAGGAATATCAACCTAAATCTTGTCGTACATTGAAGCGTCTGCACAATACGATTTTTCTACATAAATAGCTCGTGAAAACCCGAATACTTTTCGCTGATGCTCTCTCTCTCTCTCTCCCTTTTTTTGATCTAATTGCTCTGTAGTCCGCCGTCATCATGTGAACGCCTATATCCATCTTGAGACACATATCTCAATTGCATTGTATAATGGCTGTATCACTTTTCAAACTGGGCAATATGACTACTGCTCTGTGGCAAATATCCAGCGTGCATAAACACCAACACCCATTCTGTATTAAAAACTTCGCCGAGTTGACAAAAAGTATAGATAGAAAGATACTATATAAGACTCTAGGAATTAAATAATTAAACATACAATTTGAGTTACATACAGTCTTTAAAACTAATACATTGAGAGAATTTGTAAAAGGCAATTTTCGTAAATTAGCTTTTTACGAGTATAAATAAACGCGTTTTGAAATATTAATTATATGTAATTACCGTATCAAATTAATTTCGCGGGTTCGGATTAGCGACGTTCCGCGAGAACCGTCGATTGCGTTGTCAAGGAATGCGGCGCGATCACGATTCTATGTGGGACACGCCGAACAACTTATTGACGATATAACATAACGCCTATCGCGTGTTAGGGATGTCGAATCTCAGACATGCATGAGTATTCGATAATATAGATATTCGGATGGATATAATTTAATAATACTATGGAATAACTTCAAGCTTCAATACTGGTGGTAGGACCTCTTGTGCGTCCGCGCGGGTAGGTACCACCACCATGCCTATTTCTGCCGTGAAGCAGTAATGCGTTTCGGTTTGAAGGGTGGGGCAGCCGTTGTAACTACACTTGAGACCTTAGAACTCATATCTCAAGGTGAGTGGCGCATTTACGTTGTAAATGTCTATGGGCTCCAGTTACCAATTATCACCAGGTGGGCTATGAGCTCGTCCACCTATCTAAGCAATAAAAAAAAGCTCTTGCTAAAAAAGGGTTAGTGTTAATAAATTCTCTCCAGTTGAGCCTGTGAGCTCATCTACCCTTCCACGAAAAGCTGGAATAGCCCCTTACCAGCGAAAAGGTAGGAAAAAGAAACTATGGAGTATATACAAAACTCTAATTTATTTTGTTTACCTTCAAAATTAATTGGATTGAAAAGATGTGCTGTGTTAAAATAAATTAGATTTTATATTTAGTGTACAGCTGTTTCTGATGCCGATAGTAGCTATAACATGGATGCCACATCTCCCCTTGACCCATGAAGTCCAAATCTTCAAATAAGCATACGGCCTGACCATTATTATGCAAAATCATTAGTCAAAAATCATCAATCATGATTGCGTGATTTGTTAAATCTTAACTATAATTTTTAAATATAACATTGAGTTTGGTGGATAAAGAGTTACTTTTAGATTTTTTTAATGCCTCAATATTCGGAACAACAACAAGTGGCACAGCCAAGACGATACCTACAGCTGAAGACTTCCAATTCTTCAGAAGACCAAGATTACATCTGTGTACTACGTAATCTTTTATTTATCATAGCAACTATTTTCTTCTAGATCTACCTATATTCAGACAACCCTATTTCCCAATTGATGTCTAAAACGGATCTAGGTCGACAGGTTTGACTAGTTTATGAAGTACAATTTAAACCCGCAGATTGTAACGACAAGTGTATAAAAGTATTAACAGAATACAGGGTCTTAAAAGGCCATTCCAGATTTCACATTTAATCTTATAGATTAATAAACGTTCATAATAAATATACCACAAGTTTCTATGTATATGCATGAGCTTACAAAATCCGTTTAATTTGGTTGAATTTCTTCATTTAGTTTATTAGTATCAACAGATAGATAAGCGCAATATCAATATTGCTAAGCACAAGAAAACTTGTCTCTTATTTATAATATTATCTTTTTATTGCATAGGTAGGTGGACGAGCTCACGGCCCACCTGGTGTTAAGTGGTTACCGGAGCCCATAGACGTCTACAATCTAAATGCCGCCACCCACCTTTAGATATGAGTTCTAAAGTGTCAGTATAGTTACAACGGCTGCCCCGCCCTACAAACCGAAACGCATTACTGCTTCACGGCAGAAATATGCAGGGTGGTGGTACTTACCCGTGCAGACTAAGCTCGAAAAAACTAAGGTACAGATTAGCTCAACCCTAAACTCGATTGGTCACTGTTGGATATTTAGTTAATCTGTGATGTCATTCTCCTCACATTAAAGTTTGGATTGTTACGCATTTATTTAACAGAATAATGGAAAAAATTAAGAGTGGTATTTTTAATCACCAAAAGTAGCTTCAGCGATCAAAACAGGAATAAAATATTTTAAACGCACAATATCTTTGTTACTCTCACAATTTTAAACTACAATTTACGTGCTTTAACATCAAGCTTAGATTGAACATTCTACGTCAAAATAGAAACAAACAAAAAAAAACGTATCAAACCGTCGCATAGCTGACGATCATGCAACTGTCATAGAGAGAAATTAA